CACGCGATTTTCGCCGCTAGCGGCCAAAAAACATGCGATTTTCGCAGCTGGCGGGCAAAAATCGCGATTTTCGCCGCTACCGGCCAAAAATAGCGCGATTTTCGCCGCTAGCGACCAAAAACCGTGCGATTTTCGCCGCTAGCGCCCAAAAATCGGGCGATTTTTGCGGCTAACGGCCGAAAATCGCGCGATTTTCGCCGCTAGCGCCCAGAAAACTATGCGATTTTTGCAGCTGGCGGGCAAAAATAGCGCGATTTTCGCCGCTACCGGCCAAAAATAGCGCGATTTTCGCCGCTAGCGGCCAAAAACCGTGCGATTTTCGCGGCTAGCGGCCGAAAACCGCGCTATTTTCGACGCTAGCGGCCAGTAACCATGCAATTTTTGCAGCTGGCGGGCAAAAATCGCGCGAATTTCGCCGCTACCTGCCAAAAATCGACCGATTTTCACCCCTAGCGGCCAAAAAAGGGGCTATTTTCGCCGCTAGCGGCCAAAAATGGGGCGATTTTCGCGGCTAGCGGCCAAAAATCGTGCAAATTTCGTCGCAAGCGGCCAAAAATCGTGCGAATTTCGCCGCTTGCGGTCAAAAATCGCGCGATTTTCGCCGCTAGCGGCCAGAAACTATGCGATTTTTGCAGCTGGCGGGCAAAAATAGCGCGATTTTTGCCGCTACCGGCCAAAAACCGCGTGATTTTCACTGCTAGCGGCCAAAATCCATGCGATTTTCGCAGCTGGCGGGCAAAAATCGCGATTTTCGCCGCTACCGGCCAAAAATCGCGCGATTTTCGCCAATAGCGACCAAAAACCGTGCGATTATCGCCGCTAGCGGCCAAAAATTTGGCGATTTTTTCGGCTAACGGCCGAAAATCGCGCGATTTTCGCCGCTAGCGGCCAGAAACTATGCGATTTTTGCAGCTGGCTGGCAAAAATAGTGCGATTTTCGCCGCTACCGGCCAAAAACCGCGCGATTTTCACCGCTAGCGGCCAAAAATAAGGCGATTTTTTCGGCTAACGGCCAAAAATAGCGCAATTTTTGCGGCTAACGGCCGAAAATCGCGCGATTTTCGCCGCTAGCGGACAGAAACTATGCGATTTTTGCAGCTGGCGGGCAAAAATAGCGCGATTTTCGCCGCTACCGGCCAAAAACCGCGCGATTTTCACCGCTAGCGGCCAAAATCCATGCGATTTTCGCAGCTGGCGGGCAAAAATCGCGATTTTCGCCGCTACCGGCCAAAAATAGCGCGGCTTTCGCCGCTAGCGGCCAAAATCGTGCGATTTTCGCCGCTAGCGGCCAAAAATCGGGCGATTTTTGCGGCTAACGGCCGAAATCCGCGCTATTTTCGACGCTAGCGGCCAGAAACCATTGCGATTTTTGCAGCTGGTGGGCAAAAATCGAGCGAATTTCGCCGCTACCTGCCAAAAATCGACCGATTTTTGCCGCTAGCGGCCAAAAAAGGGGCTATTTTCGCCGCTAGCGGCCAAAAATGGGGCGATTTTCGCCGCTAGCGGCCAAAAATCGTGCAAATTTCGCCGCTAGCGGCCAAAAATGGGGCGATTTTCGCCGCTAGCGGCCAAAAATCGTGCAAATTTCGCCGCTAGCGGCCAAAAATCGTGTGAATTTCGCCGACAGCGGCCAAAAATCGCGCAATTTTCGACGCTAGCGGCCAGAAACTATGCGATTTTTTCAGCTGGCGGGCAAAAATAGCGCGATTTTCGCTGCTACCGGCCGAAAATAGCGCGATTTTCGCCGCTAGCGGCCAAAAACCGTGCGATTTTCGCGGCTAGCGGCCAAAAATCGGGCGATTTTTGCGGCTAACGGCCGAAAACCGCGCTATTTTCGACGCTAGCGGCCAGAAACCATGCAATTTTTGCAGCTGGCGGGCAAAAATCGCGATTTTCGCCGCTACCGGCCAAAATGGGGCGATTTTCGCCGCTAACGGCCAAAAACCGTGCGATTTTCGCGGCTAGCGGCCAAAAATCCGGTGATTTTTGCGGCTAACGGCCGAAAACCGCGCTATTTTCGACGCTAGCGGCCAGAAACCATGCAATTTTTGCAGCTGGCGGGCAAAAATCGCGCGAATTTCGCCGCTACCTGCCAAAAATCGACCGATTTTCGCCGCTAGCGGCCAAAAAATGGGCTATTTTCGCCGCTATTTAGCGGCCAAAAATGGGGCGATTTTCGCCGCTAGCGGCCAAAAATCGTGCAAAAATCTTTGGTCCCGCCTCTCAACCGTCAATCTGATGTACAGATTCCTGAGCCTACTGGGCTCTGTCATATCTATATTTGAAACTGTGTATGGAGTCAGCCGCCACCACATTACTGCCTAATGCATTCCACTTATTAACTACTCTGACACTGAAAAGTTCTTTCTATAATCTCTCTGTGGCTCATTTTGGTACTCAGCTTCCACCTGTGTCCCCTTGTGCGTGTACCACATGTGTTAAATAAATGTATGTATGTATGTTTGTATGTAGAGAGAGAGAGAGAGAGTGAGAGTGAGAGAGAGAGAGAGAGAGAGAGAGATAGAGAGAGATAGAGAGAGAGAGATAGAGATATAGAGAGAGATAGAGAGAGATAGAGAGAGATAGAGAGAGATAGAGAGAGATAGAGAGAGATAGAGAGAGATAGAGAGAGATAGAGAGAGATAGAGAGATAGAGAGATAGAGAGATAGAGAGATAGAGAGATAGAGAGATAGAGAGAGATAGAGAGAGATAGAGAGAGAGAGAGAGAGAGAGAGAGAGAGAGAGAGAGAGAGAGAGAGAGAGAGAGAGAGAGAGAGAGAGAGAGAGAGAGAGAGAGAGAGAGAGAGAGAGAGAGAGAGAGAAGAGAGAGAGAGAGAGAGAGGGAAATATATATAGACAGAGTCAGGGAGAGAATGTTAGACACAGAGACGGATAGATAAGGATATGCAAAGTCAGTGAGAGAATGGCAGAGATAGAGCGAGGAAAGAGACAGAGAGATACGCTGACACAGAGAATGGCAGAAACGAGGAGAGGCAGAGACAGAGGGACAGGAGCAGAGGGACAGGGATAGACGGACAGGGCCAGAGGAGGGTTGATACCGGGTTGATGAGGTTCTGAGAGTTATTCTACTCCCCGAGGCCAGGCTTTACTTGTGAGTTTGATCTACTAGGCTGTTGCTTGGAGCGGCCCGCATGCCCACATACCCACCACAGCCCGGTTGGTCCGGCACTCCTTGGAGGAAACAATCTAGTTTTCTCTTGAAGATGTCCACGGTTGTTCCGGCAATATTTCTTATGCTCGCTGGGAGGGTGTTGAACAACCGTGGACCTGACGTTTATAGTGTTCTCTGATTGTGCCTATGGCACCCCTGCTCTTCACTCGTTCTATTCTGCATTTTCTGGTTTGCACTGGTCTGGTCAACAGGAGTCCTGTTGTACAGAGTCCTCGTACATTCTCTCACACTGGTGCAGACTTTTCTTCCCAACCATCCCCCAAGGGCAGGCCCTCCAGCGGGAGGTCCGTCGACCCGAAAGAACCTTGTACCTTAGCACGTACAATGTGCTTACCCCGCCTGCTTTCATAACACATACAAGAGATCCAGAGCTAACCCTCAAGTTGTTCGTGAGCCCCTCACAAGGTGACATTGGAGGGAGACATGACGCAAATAATTTTGCGTCTTTTTTTTTTTCAAAATTCGTCGTCAGGGAATTTTGTTTTACCTAGATATTTCATCCCATAGATGCTTTGCTTCCATTGTCTTAATTAAGGGGCCATGGGGTAGCTTTTTAAAACGTTGTTCAAATGTCAACAAATCTTTCTTGACTAGTTGTATATGAAGAGCTGTAATTGACCCAAGCTTCAGTACTGCAGCCTAAATAGAATTTGTTTTTATTTTTTCAACGAAAATTAGTCTAGTGCTGCCATCTGTGGCAGAGATTGACAACAAATTTCCTCCCAAAATTGGCACCCTTACAGATAGGCTTACGTGCAGTCAGGTGTACAAGTTTCATGCAAATCGTCCAATAAACAAACAAAAATCTAATTAAAAATTATAACCCTAAATATTTTTTTGGATAAAACTAAGTTTTTAATATATGCTATTGTGATAGTCAAGCAAGTAATTATCAAAAGAAGGCACCAAACCGGGAAGGTTATGTAGCACCATCAAATGCGCGGAATAATCAGAGGGCGCTAAATATCACCAAGGATGCCAATACGAGAACAAAAACGCATGAGGCGAACGATATCAAAAGTATCAGTCACCAGGAATTCTATTGAGGGACAGGTGACCGCGAGGGGCGGTCGGAAAGCAAGACATACGCTCGTCCTGGAAGTCAGGACATTCAAGAAGGACATGCACGACCGTAAGAGGGACAATGCAACTAGGACAATAAGGAGCAGGGCGGCGCTCCATCAAGTGACCATGGGTTAAGCGAGTATGACCAATACGCAACCTCGCCAGAGCTGTTTCCCATCGCCGGTGACGGTGGTAGGAGGACGGCCACGAGGAAACATTTAAGAGTACGTAGTTCGTTACCAGTAACATACGACCAAGAAACCTGCCAACGGGTAAGGTGATAGCAGTCAAGACATGATTTCAGTCGACACGTGTTTGATGTGAATTTTCGACCATTTTGGAAAACAAATATTTTTTTCTCCCTATTTATGCTACGATGCAGACTTGGACCACATGAAACCCTTTTCATATAAAACTCGTCAAAAAAAGTTCGATTTCAAACTAGTTTTCATTTATTGCATATTTGACCCCATGCCCCCTTAAGGTTGGTGCCCTGTATATACATTGATTTTTTTTTTTTTTTTTAGCTTTTACGTGAGCCCCACAAACTAGTTTGTGTGGCTCAAGTTTTGATTACCTCACAAGACATTTCAAAATTTCCACGACATATGGCAAATCCCCCTTATATATCAATATGAAATAGTTTAAATCCGTTTATTTGATATTCAGCCAATAGCTGTTTTCTATATTTATCCATGTTTCTGTAGCAACCGACACAATCAGGCATATATAAACAATATATAGACTCGAAAATTTATTGTTCTAGTCTTCAGACTTGGTGGTTCGTGTGTAGACGACCTGCGCATGGTGCTTCACAACTTGTCTGATCAGACCTGAAAATAGAGTTTTGTATCGAGTATTGTTGATATATAATTATTTAAACATTCAAATCTACTAGCAAGACAAAAAGAAAATGTTCATTGTAGATTACCACGTCCTAGAGACTACTTATTGTACTATTTGACCAACAGGTTATTTCAAGTCAGGCTGAAGTTACAGATTATTCGTAAGTAGGTGAAAACCATAGGGAATATTTAGCCGGCGAGTCCAAGTAGTGGTGTCCTATGAACACATGACAATAGCTATATGCACTACTGATATGTTGGCATCAACCTATTTTTCTGTACTGTATCAGTAGAAGTAAATACTGTAAACTAACTTTTTTATGGATGGTTCCAAGTCTAACAAAAAATTAAGTATACAAGTATGTATTGTTTAAATATTGGTGCAGCTCCACCTCTAAAATACTGCTACAGAGCAAATTATGAAACTAGAGAAAAGTGACTAGGTACTCGTTAAGGAAAGTATGCAACATACAAGAGCAATGAAAAGGGACACTAAGTTCATATGATCAAGTACTGTACATGTAAGGAGTCTTACCACACATGAAATTTAAAAATACAAAGTTCAGAAGGCCAGTTTGTATATGATTATAAACAGGTTGATGACAGTGTGGATATGAATGAAAAACTTTAGCGATGTGAAAATTGTACACAGGGATTGGAAAAATGTAAGTGTATAATGCTATACAAACTGGTAGAATAATGAGAATTAAGTAGCAATGGGTTACTTATTCCGTGGACACAATGAGAACACGAGGCAAGTAAATATTTTTAAAATACTTTAGACACTATGAAAAAAATTTGATAGCAAAAAAGTCAGGATACGAGACTGATATGGAGTTCCCACATATATAAGGGTACCACAAAAAAAATCTACTTAACCCAAGTGACTAGCATCATGCATGCCTAAATTTGTATGTCCCCTAACTAAGACACCTTAGAGGAACCAAGGTGCCAACTCATGGGAACTAGCCACAAAAAGCATCAACTGCAAGACTGCTAAAACAGCAGGCACCACAGACAGCTTTATGAAGCATTTATCTACCATATCATTAACACAAAGAGGAGTATATAACTCACTTGCTGACTTTGATATGGAAAAGGTTTGCATTACTGTACTATATATTTAAACATTCAAACCCAATAAACGTGTTAGTACGCCAAACTAAAATTAAACCAACCTTTAACTTGAAGCTCGTCAAGGGCACGACGGGCCAGAGACCCTGTGATCTTCAGCCTCTCACTAACAACGGAGGGAGTGATAAGCTTGTAAGACGGCACTTCTTTGTACAGCTTATCATATGTAGGCTTGTCAAACAACACCAAGTTGTTCAGCTTATCACGGACCTGTAGACAAATTGCTTAATGAATGAACAATATATTCTAAGGAAAATACTATATAGCACTTAGTATATCTTTTCTGAAGTACACAATACAGTATTCTTTGCAAATGTAGTAATGTACAGTGGTTTCAGGTTAATGCAAACAGTGATTGAATATGTACAGATAAGCTTGGTTTTGATACATCATAACTGCCAGAATTATGAAGAAATTCTTATAACCTTACTTGCAAATAATTAATAAAAAATTACAATACTTGATGAATTTCTGAAAATACTATTAGATGTCTTGATGATTAGAAGTTTGCCAAGAAAACTTTATTTTGGATGAAGCAAATAACTACCACAAAACTGGGAATGGAGTTATGGCAATATACTGCATGACATTTATACCACAGTTCACGGTAGCTATTTACAGTACTGTACATGCAATATCTTGTCTAATGGCGAGTACTGCACTACGTCGACCAAACTACACAATAGAAAGTGAAGGGACGACAACGTTTCGGTCCATCCTGGACCATTCTCAAGTCGATTGCTGACCATTTACAAATGACTTGAGAATGGTCCAGGATGGACCGAAACGTCATCGTCCCTTCACTTTCTAGTGTGGTTTTGTCAACATATTTCATCCACGTTATTGTGACTCCTCATCTGCATACTGCACTACTATGCACCATAGGTGGCATCACTGCCTTATACAAGTTTTCTATAATAAAATTTAAAAACTTTATTCTCATCCCATCCTCCAGTTTAGAGTTTTTCTAGATGTGGACCATTGTACAAATATTGATGTAATGGGCAATTATAGTAGAACATGGTACTAATCACTATAGAATATGGTCTGGAAAAAACTAAAAAAACTAATTCTTAGGCCTAGTATAACATACTATACTGATATCAGTTGAACAATATTAGGCCTAGCCTGGGATAGATTAGATTTTTATTGACAAATTCAAAAGATTTTCCCATTTATCGAAATCCAACAGAACCAAATTCTACTTTTTTAATTGTCCAATGTCAATATTTGTATGATAGTCCACATAGTACTGTACTGTACTTTTTGTAGCTATCTGAACACCAGGATGGGCTGTTTAATCCTAAAAGAAAAGTCTACAGTTATCTTTGAATCTAGGCAAGAGCAGACAGAATATGATATTTCAATTAGCCGAGGAGCCAAATCATTAAAATATCTAATAGGGAATAATGTATTAAATTACTTAACCTTAAGATTGCCGACAGCATGCAAAATTATCTATTCTCAAAAACTGCTTGGCCATAATATTTTTACAATTAAACTCCAGCAGATACAAATCTTATGCAAAGAAAACATTGTAATTCCACTCCCTGTCTAAAATAATATAAATACAGTACCCAAATAAACCCCAAGTACCAACCTTTCCTTTCGACCACTTCTTCTTCTTGGCCTTCCCACCACCTCCTCCCTCCTTCTTCTTGGCAGTCTGCTTTGCAGGCTGCTTAGCCTTCGTATCCTTTTTAGGTGGCTGAAACAGAAATATAACATGACTTACTTCAATGACAAGTAAACGAGTTCGTATTTAAAGTATGAAAATCAAACGTTAAATAGAAAAAGACCTGAAATTAAGTTTCATCAATGGAAAGAAGATTGTCAAGATCTTATCACTGCTTTCATACTGGGTACAAAGGAAACAGCCAGAGATCGCCTTGGGTGTCTACCATTCAGAACAAACCAGAGGCCAAATACAATTCCATTCTTGTAATTTCAAATTTTGTCCAACATTTTGACCCAAAATTATTGCGGTGTATACATAACATCTACAACATTGCTGTATCCAAGACTAAATAAATAAGCAAACCCACTATACACTGTATCTAATCTACCCAACGTAACAATCCAATTATACATTATAATGGAACCATTATAATGGACAGAATCCATTATACATTATAGTGGAACCAGCCCGTCCTCCAAAAATGGGGAGGGAAATGTATTAGCACAAGTGCAATTATATACTTTTCATAGCAGTCATGAATTGCACTTATTTTCACTTAGTATTAAACTGTACTCTCAAATATATTGTGAATATAGAGTTTACCTGAAAAGCTGAATAGAAACACACGACCTAACCTAACCTTTTTAGTTTGAAGATAAGCATTTTAATGCTTCTTAATTTCAATTAGTACTTAACCTATAGCTATGTTATTAGTTTTATAAAACTAATAAAACAAAACTAAAATATCAAATTGTAAAGTAACTCAGGATTTTCAAATTTTGTATAAAATCTCTATTGTTTAATAAAACTGAAAAAGAAATTCCTGATACTTTAAAACTTGTCTATAGCTAATTGAACTTGAAAACTTCATCATAAAATTCCGAGTGTCTTAAGAGAAAACGAGAATAAATGGGGAGGTAAATGTAACCGCCCCATTAGTGCAACTGTGTACTATGTATGACAGTAAGGAAATGTACTTATTACACTTGGTATTAAACTGTACTGTCAGTTCGGAGGATGGGTTGAATGGAACACAAACCCAAAATGTACTGGAACACAATGGACAAGGTAAAGGACACAACTAAGAGAACATTTAGTGTTTACATGATAAAATGGCAAGATTGGCCATTTTATCGAGTCATTGGCTGATCATGATTCTCAAGAAAGTGCGTGTTGAAAGCAGCAGCTAAAAAAGACGAAGGATACCAAGCTTGAATGGAAATCCTGTACAGTACCACTATGTCAACCGAGTCCCCTTTGTTACATAATGTCCAACGTAAGTATTTGATGCCTTGTAATTACCAAGGAAAATTTAGACAATCTTAAAGGCAGCCATAGTGGCAAGGAGAGCCAGAGCAAAGATCCTGATACTTAGCAATTTTAACCACTGGGAAAAAAAGTAAAAAATGCTCCTAATGAGGGCGATGAAACACTAGAGCGTTAAGGAAACTACAAACCATTTCTAAGCTGCTGTACAACCATATATGGAAGGAAAACTACAATACTAAATGTGATCATACTGCAGGGACAGGAATAAACACACAAGAGTGACAAAGAAGCATGTTAAGGTTCAAGGTCTACAAACTAGAACCAGATTTTTGTCTAAACAGATGCAACAACAGTTGACCAGAAACATCACTTGACAGAATTGAGTTAATGTAAAGCTGGCAAAACACACACATGAAGGAATTCTCTAACAGAAGTACCAGGCCAAATTTCAGCATAGTTATGGATGGAAGCAGCAGGAAGTGTTACCCATTAACTCTAGTGTTCAATATTACACTAGAATTAGTGAACTACTGGAAATGAAAATCTTTAATGGCAAATGTAATGGGGGGGGGAGTAGACATACATGACCTAAATTAGCATAACCAAGCAAATTTAGCATCAGCAAGAAAAATGGTAGGATGGATTACGAGAATCTTCAAATCCTGGGATCCCATCACAATGGTTGTACTGTACTAATTAAATCACTTGTGCTGACTCAACTTTAGTGTGGCTTGATCTTCTCTTCCTGCCCTTCAGAGCAGGAGAGATTGCCAAAAGAGGGAATAGAGAACATATACAGCATACATGAGACACAAAGCACCTAAATTATTGGGATCATCTCAAAGCTCTCCAAATGTACTCCTTAGACAGGAGATGAGTAGAGTATCAAATACACATGTCAAATACTGTAGGGGTCAGGTCCAAAATTTACACAGTAAAACATAATGGAGTGAACAATATACTGTAGAAGGAAATGCAGAACAGAACAAGTAAAGAGCAGGGGTGCCCATAGGCACAATCAGAGAATGCTGAATAAACATTATGAGGTATACAGTTGTTCAATATTCTCAGCAAGTATCAGAAATATTACTGCAACAAACATGGACATCTTCAAGAGAAGACATGATAGTTCTCTTCAAGAAGTGCCAGACCAAACAGGCTGTAGTGGATGTGGGCCTGCAGGCCCCTTCAAGCAAAGGCCTCTTCTATCAAGCTCTCAAGTCAGGCCAGGTTTGAGGATAAGAACTCTCAGAACCCAATCTAGGTAAAATCCAGGTAACTACATATTGGTTTTGAATGTATTGCCTCCAGGATACCTCCCTCCTGAGGACAGGTTGAAAGACCACGCCCTTAAAAACCTTTTGAGAACAGGGAATATGATAACTACATATAAAATCCTGAGGGGAATAGGCAGTGGACAGAAGAGCATTTAAATTAGAGGTAGGACAAGGGGACATCGGTGGAAGTTGGACATGTAATTGAGTAGAGATGTAAGGAAGTTCCCACTCCATATATGGGAGATCTACAAGTGGAATACACTGAAGGAAGAGGTTCGAAGAGGATGAAAGCCAATTTCATCTGCAGCTTTAAAAAGAAACAATAAAAATACTAATGTTGTGAAGTAATTAGCATACCAGATATAAATGTCTAGGAGGCAGGGAACTAAGGAACTAGGCCTCACTCCATGTAGTCACAGATTTGTAAACATTACTTAAATTCTTAGTAAAATTTCAAGTCCTTTTGTGGCGATTTCTTTATTGATAACATAAGTATTCATGAATTTATTATGCATTTGTATATTTAGCAATGCCATGCATTAAATGAGCTTTTCAGAACTACAATACTGATCATTTATTTCCAAACATTGACAAACATTAGCTATACTTTCAAGAAATAACTTATGATTCAAAGAACGTAAATTTTGAATGTACCACTTTACAGGGACTCGAGCCGGCCAGAACATTTATATTGGCACATCTCTTGTTCATATCAAAGAATGAGGGAGCAAGTACAATTAGGTTAACCCAAAAATATATGGAGACAAGCCACAACAACATGGTAGAAGATACGATGACCAAACCACACTAGACGACGAGATGACGTTTCAGTCTGTCCTGGACCATTATCAAGTCGATTGTGGTACAATCAAATTTATAATGGTTCAGCAGACCAGAAACATCATCTCATCTTTTGGTCATCAAAAATATATGGGATTGAGGTATGCATTTGTGAAAGCAGTCTAGTGTAAGGAGAATGCTAAAATAGAATAAAATAAGATGAGGCATTTTTGTAATAATGGTATGAAGCTACTAGACAGTAAAAAAAAAGTTATTGTGCAAAGATGCAATAATTATCAGAAAGTTAAATAAAGAAAAAGCACCAGAACAAAAGGCACTATATAGCACTGTTTTGATGCTATGAAGAGGACAAGGATCTGGCATAGGGGAAGGAGGGATATTGTGCAAAGGAATACAAACATGATAACCCTTAGACAATGGTTATCGCCATATGGCGATTCACGAGGTAATGCGGTTATTGTCATGACGATGTAAACTTATCTGAGTTTTACATACATGCTGCAAACATATATATATATGCTTCAAATAGCTCTGGATGTACCAGTTTACTTTGACCTATGAAAAAATCCTGTTATTTCATGGTTATATTACCATGAATGCTGTTATAGTGAGTAGGTGAACGTAGTCATCACTAAAATTCTATCATTACATATGTATACCAATGATTTTCATATGGTTGTAATGAGGTATACCCAGTAAACCAATCATTTATCGAACCATTATCATGCATTATATGCACTAGGTGGCCTACTGTCATCTTTGGGTGGCTTACACCTTTGTTTAAATCTATACTCCCCCATATGGTGGAACTAGGCCATATGTCGTCATCTAGAGCCCAACAACTGTATGTCATGGTCATGTTTTTCACTGCTCTATATGGTTGCATGAAGTAGTGTCACAATTTCCCCGCATAGCCGTGGAAAGCTGCCTCTTCCTACCTCCCTCAACACCTTCATGCTACAATACATCCTCTATGACAGCAGAACCAGACAGCCGTCTGGAAACCTCTAACTGGGTCACCCTACCAAGCCCCATAACCCCCAGCCAGGTTTTCTTGCCAGCGCTAATTACACAGCCACTAACTGCTCGCTATGTCGCTGGCTTATCGTAGACTCGTGCACCTTACCAGACGAGACATCACCCGCAGGCGTATATAAGCACCCGCCAGTGATCTGGAAGAGCATACTACTACTAGTGCTCCTGGGGTCTACACTTCACCTCTCGCTGTGGTCCAACTACGACGCGTGAGTGGATATATGTACCAGTGTATTAGATTGTCACCCTTTTGTTTTTCATTTGAGAATAAATTTATTATTCTCATGTTTGGCCAAGTATTTTGTTAGGAATTATTTTGTTTTAAGAGAGTTTACAGTAAAATGTTTATGTATAATTGCTTAACCTACAATTTCTTAGGACTGCAGAGGCTAAGCAGCTTTTATTTACTTTTACTTTTTTTGTGCAAGTAGGGACAATTCCAGCTGCTCCGGTATTTGCTGCACTACCGCACTATAACGTCACAAGTTATACCAAATAAACCAGTCAACAATGCATGTGGCACCATAGTTGCCTTTGTTCTTATGTTCTTAAAATCTTTCAATAAATGTATGATGAAACGTACTAAAATTGTTTACACAAAATATCCTTGTAAAATAGAGGTGCGTCCTATGCGAAGGTGCATCTTATGCCAGCAAATACAATGAATGTCCAATTTTTCAAATATTGATACTGCAGAATTTCTGATGCCCTTGAATATTGTGACCATACAGCCAAAATTTTTAGCCAAAGCTAAATCAAAGTTCTGGAAATTATCGAGGTCGTTCACCGGAATGCATCCCGCATCACAGGACTCCCTAGACATGCATTATCAACAGCTCGTGACTCGGTAGTGTACCTGAGGAGTACAGGGTTGGGATTTGATCAGCCTACGACATTACCTGGCAAATCACATTATATGCTAATTAAAATCATAAAGCTCATTTAAGATGAATTTTTTTCAGAATTGATAGGATATGAAAGCAACTTAATTTAAGAATTCAAGTCATGGCCATTTAGACCCATAACATTTTTGGAGCATTTTCTAACATGCATAAGAATTTGGGAGCCAGCACGTTCTCTCATGGTGCCACTATAAAATTTAAAAATGACTTGCCTAGCCAGGAACACAAAGCTAGTCGGTTCCAAACTCGCTTAACCTACTGAGGCCGATGAAGTCACTAATACAAAAAAATTCAGAGTAATGTTACTTAAAATATTGGTAAATTCTGTAGAAAAAAATGATTAGCGAGTAGACTGGTTGCAGCACTACCAGACCAGACTAAGTCGATTCCATTTATTTCCACCTCTCCAATACGTTCAAGCAATCTATTCTTAAAACATTACCTTTAAGAAAAAGCTTGATCTGGAATATTTTATTTTTGTAATTATTGAATAAATGAACTTGAATGGAATATAATTTAATTCATCTTGAATGTGAAAATTAATAAAGTTAAGGTAATTACGAGCACAGTATGAAGCCAGGAGCGGGGTTATGAGGGCCCAGGAGGTGAGATATGGGGCCCAGGAGCTGGGATATGGGGCCCAGGAGCTGGGATATGGGGCCCAGGAGCTGGGATATGGGGCCCAGGAGCTGGGATATGGGGCCCAGGAGCTGGGATATGGGGCCCAGGAGCTGGGATATGGGGCCCAGGAGCTGGGATAAGGGGCCCAGGAGCTGGGATAAGGGGCCCAGGAGCTGGGACAGGCAAACATTTACACCCCATACCAAACAGCTTGGCAGAAAACTCGTGTAAACATTCATACAAAATTAAACAAATATTTTGAAAGCCACGCCACAAATTGTTTGTACTACAATAAAAACCTTACCATAAACAAGTAGCTAGTTAAGATGTAATGACTTTCCTGGCAAATAAAAAAAAAATAGTTAGGCTGGCCGAGCCCCCACGTGCTCGGCCAAACACATTCCCTTATTACTCACTTATCTCCACCTTCCCCTTAACGCGCCCCGCCTCACAGCACGCTAAACACCCTGCTTCACCTACCTAGAGTACTCAAGGTAAAAGTACGAGTGTCAGGAATGAGTATTTAGTGAGAGAAGAGCGAGGAGGACTCACCATGGTGCGGGCTGTGTTGTGGTGCCGAGCAGGAGGACCGCCGCTCCTCTCCCATTGGTCCAGCCCTCGCCGCCTTCATCATGGTTCTCTTCCCATATTAATACTTTTATTACAAATATAAATATATACAGAACATAATACAATGGTTAGTTAGTTGTTAAAGAAATATATTTTTATTAAAGTCACTAATACGCAAAGCGTTTCAGGCTTAATTTATAATAATTCATTTAAACTCCCTAATACATTTTTATTTCGTTATCAAATATTTCTCATGTTTTATAATTAAACATGTTTGATATTATTATATAAGAAATTATTCCCATTCACAGGCACAAATACAGTGTAAGAATTTAACTATATTACATTCTTCAATTTCAATTTCTACAATATACTTACCTGATCGTACTTACATAATTGTGCTTATGCGGTTGAACTTCTGAACCAGGGCCAGGATTCTTGAACCACTTCAGTATACACTTACGAGATCTGTATCTCTTACCTTGGTCGTGGTAGCTTAGTCTGTATTTATTACAGTTTAAACTCCATGATGTTCTAATACGATATCCTCCATAAAACTAATACTAAACAAACTTTTTTTTGTTTTACACACAGGTGGGTACAGGAGCAGACGACTGCTGACTCCTGTTAGCAGGCTGAGAGCTTTCCCTTCCCATAGCTCATGGTAAGCCTTACCCTACTAGTTTTACACACAGGTGGGTACAGGAGCAGACGACTGCTGACTCCTGTTAGCTGGCTGAGAGCTTTCCCTTCCCATAGTTCATGGTAAGCCTTACCCTACTAGTTTTACACACAGGAGGGTACAGGAGCAGACGACTGCTGACTCCTGTTAGCTGGCTGAGAGCTTTCCCTTCCCATAGCTCATGGTAAGCCTTACCCTACTAGTTTTACACACAGGTGGGTACAGGAGCAGACGACTGCTGACTCCTGTTAGCAGGCTGAGAGCTTTCCCTTCCCATAGCTCATGGTAAGCCTTACCCTACTAGTTTTACCCACAGGTGGGTACAGGAGCAGACGACTGCTGACTCCTGTTAGCTGGTTGAGAGCTTTCCCTTCCCATAGCTCATGGTAAGCCTTACCCTACTAGTTTTACCCACAGGTGGGTACAGGAGCAGACGACTGCTGACTCCTGTTAGCTGGTTGAGAGCTTTCCCTTCCCATAGCTCATGGTAAGCCTTACCCTACTAGTTTTACCCACAAGTGGGTACAGGAGCAGACGACTGCTGACTCTTGTTAGCTGGCTGAGAGCTTTCCCTTCCCATAGCTCATGGTAAGCCTTACCCTACTAGTTTTACCCACAGGTGGGTACAGGAGCAGACGACTGCTGACTCCTGTTAGCAGGCTGAGAGCTTTTCCTTCCCATAGCTCATGGTAAGCCTTACCCTACTAGTTTTACAGGAACACAGGAGGGTACAGGAGCAGACGACTGCTGACTCCTGTTAGCTGGCTGAGAGCTTTCCCTTCCCATAGCTCATGGTAAGCCTTACCCTACTAGTTTTACACACAGGAGGGTACAGGAGCAGACGACTGCTGACTCCTGTTAGCTGGCTGAGAGCTTTCCCTTCCTATAGCTCATGGTAAGCCTTACCTACTAGTTTTACATACAGGAGGGTACAGGAGCAGACGACTGCTGACTCCTGTTAGCAGGCTAAGAGCTTTCCCTTCCCATAGCTCATGGTAAGCCTTACCCTACTAGTTTTACACACAGGAGGGTACAGGAGCAGACGACTGCTGACTCCTGTTAGCTGGCTGAGAGCTTTCCCTTCCCATAGCTCATGGTAAGCCTTACCCTACTAGTTTTACACACAGGAGGGTACAGGAGCAGACGACTGCTGGCTCCTGTTAGCTGGCTGAGAGCTTTCCCTTCCCATAGCTCATGGTAAGCCTTACCCTACTAGTTTTACACACAGGAGGGTACAGGAGCAGACAACTGCTGACTCCTGTTAGCTGGCTGAGAGCTTTCCCTTCCCATAGCTCATGGTAAGCCTTACTCGCTTAACAACCTGGTATTAACTTAGTGTCTTTGTGAGACCATTTAATTGAGTTGTTGTGACCCAAATGTAGATGAATAAATTGGTTAGATTCTCTCTTAAATTCCATGAGGCCGCAGAAGTGGATATAAGTGCATAAGAATGGGCCGTGTATTTCTAGTTTACCAGCGAGGTAACTATCAAGGAATGAGAGGAACTGCGAAGCATCTCCTGGAATTGAAATTGAAATAAGTTTATTGAGGTAAAATACACACAAAGGGATGAGGTAGCTCAAGCTATTCTCACCCCGTTCAGTACAACGTGTTAGTACATACATAGACACACATCACAAACAATAAACCTGTTACCAAACATTCTGAGAGATAAACATCTCCCTGAGAGAGCTGATGGGCGAACATAACAACATCTTGACAAAACTTTAAGAAGGTCATCACGGAACTCGTTCAAAAGTAAGTGCAAAAAAAGGAGGAAGAAACGAAAGTGAACTAGATGGATAACTCGGGCAGTAAACAGCCATTGATAACTAGGAGGAACCTCTGGAGAACTTACAAATCCACGATGGACATCATTGGTCATCAAGGGAACTAAACTCAGCCACCCAGGAAATCAGATCAACCAAAAGAAACTATGAAAGAAAACTTGCCCAAAACATAAAGAAAGATCCAAAGTCGTTCTATGTTTATATAAGAAGTAAAACCATAACTAAGGACTCTGTAGGACCTTTAAAAGGTCTAACTAACCAAACAATAATGGACTACAAAATGGCAGCAAAGACTAAATGAATATTTTACATCAGTGTTCTCACTGGAAAGGTTAGATGACATCCCATCACCCATACAAATGTTTCAAGGGGGTGAAGAGAATAAATTTATGAATATAACCATAACATGCGACATAAACATGAAGAACATTAACAAACTTAAAGAATCGAAAGCCCCAGTGGATGGAATCCAATCCAAAGTCATAAAGGAACTGGCAGAAGAACTCTGCCTACCGCTGAAACTCCTTTTCACAAAATCTCTGGACAAAGGGGTAGTCCCCCCTAGAAAGCACATATGCAACTGTCATCCCATTTTCAAAAACGGCAGAAAGAGTTCAGCAGAAAACTCTGGCAAATACTTCATCCGGGCCTGGGGATTTGTTTGGTTTGAGTTTTACTATTTGTTTAATTACATCCTCGCTAATCCTCCTGCTAAACTAGTCAACCTGTCCTCGTCCCCACCCATAGACTTGTTCGACTGAAGACATATTGTTAAATTCCTCTTTAGTAAATACAGAGATAAAATATATATTAAAAATACTACTCATCTCTTCGTCATTATTCGTTATTTGACCTGTCTCAGTTTTTAATGGACCTATCCTTTCCTTAATCTTTGTTCGATATAACTGAAAAACCCTTTAGGATTTGTCTTTGCGTGACCTGCTATACGAACTTCATAGTTTCTTTTTGCTTTCCTTATCTCTTTTTTTAACATTTTTAACCAGTTGTTCGAATTCCTGTTCTAAACTGTTCCTCAGATCCTTTGTTATCCACTTTGGGTCATTAGTATTAGGAAGGTCATTCCACATTCTGGGTCCCTTGATTTCTAGAACATTAGACATGTATATGAATGGGACTGGGTGGTTATAAGTAGAACATAAGAACAAAGGTAACTGTAGAAGGCCTATTGGCCCAAACTATGCAGCTCCTATTTATAACCACCCAATCCTACTCTTATACATGTCCAACCCACGCTTGAAACAATCGAGGGACCCCACCTCCACCACGTTACGCGGTAATTGGTTCCACAAATCAACAACCCTATTACCGAACCAGTACGGTTACAAGTATCTCTGGGAATTCTCATTATCTGCCGATGTAGACCTGACCAAATGTAAACTGTGTCAACAAAATTATTCGCACACCCTCCGTCACTATGTGATGGAGTGCGAAAAGATACGTGAATTTAGAGACAATTCTATAACCAATGTTCCAGCGATGTGTCAATATTTCATTCATAATGATCTGCTACCAGAAATTTTAGCCAATTATCCCCAGTTTGCTAACTGTAGGTAGTAATTAAGTGATTGTAACCTATCCACCGCTGCCCACTGGATGGGGGGCGGTGTGCAGGATAAACATATCAATTGTGACACTATAAGCTAGCTCTTCACATATGTCAGTTGCTTAATTTAGAACCTGTACTTGAGGTCGATCTCGAACCCATTGTTGATGTGACGACTTATATTGAATTTTGTGACTAGCTCATCAAGATTGTAACTTGCTTAGATAAATAAATTGTGGGGTTCAGTCCCTGAGCCCATTATGTGCCTCTGTAACCCTTTCCACTACGGCCCACAAGATGGGTATAGGGTGCATAATAAATGAACTAAACTAAGTTGACCAGACCACACACTAGAAGTTGAAATCGACTTGAGAATGGTCCAGGACGGACCGAAACGTCGTCGTCCCTTCAACTTCTAGTGTGTGGTCTGGTCAACATACTTCAGCCACGTTATTGTGACTCATCGCCTGCATAAACTAACTAACGAACCAGTATTTACCCAATTCTTTCCTAAATCTAACCTTATCCAATTTATACCCATTGTTTCGTGTTCTCTCTTATGTTGATTTGTAGGAGGAGCTGCCTGGTATGTGCCAATAGGCATTCTGCAATTACCTCTATTCTTATGGTCAATGAACAAATCCACATGGGCCGTGATAAGGGTTCGAACTGAAGTGAGGGCAAAGAGGTAGAACATCTTGTTGGCAGAGCCCGAGTGCATAGGGGAGTTCTGTAACACCCTGGTTTGTGTCTCGGAGAGGCTGCAGGATCCGTGTGATGTTAGTTTAGTTAATTTATTATGCACCCCATACCCATCTTGTGGGCTCAGTGGAATTCCCGGTTTCCATTCTTTTAACCATGTCATGTCGTAGTCGACTAAGGCAGCATCTGGGATCATCCCGAGCGTAAGTTTGAACCCTCATCACGGCCTTTGTGGATTGATTCATTTGATGCATCACGCTATTGTGATTTCTGTGTGTATTCTTATTTCCAAGGTTATACTCAATTTCTCCATTAAAGGCAGATTCTTTGACTAACTCATCAGCTCTATCATGCATTCGAAGGCCAACACGTGACATGGACTGTTACCATCATTTATAATTTTGTTGAAATGAACTTAGCAAAAGGTTAGGGAAATGGGCTAGGAGGGATATAGAAGATGGATGGGGGATGGGGAGGGATATGAGGGAAATGGGCTAGGAGGGATGTAGAAGATGGATGGGGGATGGGGAGGGATATGAGGGAAATGGGGTAGGAGGGATGTAACGAAGATGGATGGGGGATGGGGAGGGATATTAGGGATATAGGAGGGGGGTCGGTGAGGGAGAGAAGAGGGGCAGAGAGGCGCTCAAGTGTTGTTGTTGTTGTTGTAGAGAAGAAGCAGCAGGTCGGGCGTGCTACTCTCTGGGCTTCACACTGGTGAGTAAACCTCCCTCCTCTGGCTATCTGGACTATAGTAAACTGCTCCTGAGGGAAGGCTGAGAGTCTACTAGGTTGCTGAGCCCTGCTAGGGACCCTCCTAGCCAGAACTACACCATCGTTCCTCCATTTATGGCCCCTCGTCAGGGCCTTGGCTGCGCCAGGGGCCCCACGCTACACAAGACAACTAAATAGGCCAAAATCGCAGTATTGTAGGCCTATAAGCCATTTGTTTAGCCTAATAGGTGTGGGAATAGGGTAGTTTACATCTGAAGGAAGGTATATTTTTCAGAGGCAGCCTGACACGTGGTATAGGCCTATGGTTGGCGGACACAGGCTACTGTACTCGCCTAGTTGTGCTTGCGGGGGTTGAGCTCTGGCTCTTTGATCCCGCCTCTCAACTGTCAATCAACTGGTGTACAGGTTCCTGAGCCTACTGGGCCCTATCATATCTACATTTGAAACTGTGTATGGAGTCAGCCTCCACCACATCACTGCCTAGTGCATTCCACCTATTAACTACTCTGACACTGAGAAAATTCTTTCTAACGTTTCTGTGGCTCATCTGGGTACTAAGTTTCCACCTGTGTCCCCTTGTTCGTGTCCCACCCGTGCTGAAGAGTTTGTCTTTGTCCACCCTGTCAATTCCCCTAAGAATTTTGTAGGTGGTTATCATGTCTCCCCTTACTCTTCTGTTTTCCAGGGACGTGAGGTTCAGCTCCTTTAGCCTTTCCTCGTAGCTCATTCTTCTCGGTTCCGGGACGAGCCTGGTGGCATACCGCTGAATCTTCTCTAGCTATGTCTTGTGTTTAACTAGGTATGGACTCCAGTCTGGAGCTGCATACTCCAGGATTGGTCTGACATAAGTGGTATACAGGGTTCTGAAAGATTCCTTACACAAGTTTCTAAAGGCAGTTCTTATGCTGGCCATTCTAGCATATGCCGCTGATGATATTCTTTTGATGTGGGCCTCTGGGGACAGGTTCAGTTTGATATCAACCCCCAGATCTTTCTCTCTATTTGACTCTTGCAGGATTTCACCTCCCAGATGATACCTTGTGTTCAGCCTCCTGCTCCCTAATTTCATCACCTTACTCTTTCCTGAGTTGAACTTTAGCAGCCATTTTCTAGACCATTCCTCCAGTTTATCCAGGTCATCCTGTAGTCTCTGTCTATCTTCATCTGTCTTGATTCTTCTCATAATTTTTGCATTTTTGGAAAGATTTGATTGTGTTTTAGCAGCCATTTTCTAGACCATTCCTCCAGTTTATCCAGGTCATCCTGTAGTCTCTGTCTATCTTCATCCGTCTTGATTCTTCTCATAATTTTTGCATTTTTGGAAAGATTTGATTGTGTTTTGTACCCCATATTTCATATAAGATTGCTCGGTTCAGTACTGTAGTTTCAAAGCGTTATATGATAAAGGGTACAGTACCTTTATCCCCCAGTCCAGCTGTTGCTTTGGGTTCTGGCTCGGCTTGAATCCTATTGGGGGATGGTGCTTCTCCTGGCCACATGGTGGCCAGCCCAGCCTTGGTTTCAAGCGCTGCTTGCTCGGTGTCTGAACCCAGGAGTGCTTCAGCGGGTTTCACCTCTTTCAGCAGGTCGGACCAGTGAGGTACCAAGCTGGTTCGACTTACTCTTCCACTCTTCGCGTCTGGTGTTTCTGACATTGGTGTATCACCACTTGTATGGTGATCAGGTGACTTCTCTGATAGTGTCCCACCTGCGGTCTTCATCTCAGCGAAAATATGAAGTCTCCTGGCGTCCCTTCGGAGTGTGTTGTAGGTGTCTGTGAAGGTGGTTTTGTCCTCGTGGCTCTTTTTGGACCGGCAATTTATGCAGAATACTGTCGCTTCTTATCGATTTCCTTGCCTGTTTGTTTTCTTTTGGGGGAATTCTTTGGCTCTGTTCAGACATAGGTTGCAATTTTTACCAGTTGCGGTTTGTATTGTTTTCCCTATCTTTCTGGGTGCCCTCCCCGGTTTATGGCAGACATGACATACTGTGAATGTAGAGTGCTCATATGACCATTGCTCCCTGTACCTCTCTGAGGGAGCCTGGTTCTGGCTGGTGGTCCCCAGTGGGCATTCAGAACTCCCGGGACTGATGACACCAAATTAATATGGTACATGTCAGTTTGGATAGCTTGAGGTTCAGGGAGCCTCCGGGGCTCGTCCAGAAAATGGCATTTCATTTTTCATTACATTTAACACTGGTTTTTATATACATTATAAAAATAAATCTTCCATGCTGTACTGACATACTGCATTTATTTTCAGAAAATATGAGCGCAATCTTCGAAGCTAGTAATAACTGAGAAACCACACCTTCAGCATGTGTGTCGACTGGGATATGATAATTTTCCAGCCCTAGGCGGGATGTCCCACCTTCCGGTGGCCACCCTTTCCCTCCCCTCCTCAGCTGCTCTGCATTGTTTCATGGGATACATCTGTCTACTGCCAACATACAACTGTGATTACTGAATGTTCATTTAATTACCAGAAGATTTGAAAGACTTAAGTGCGCTTCAAAAGTGGTCTAAGGAATTAGTTTTAATTTAATACTGTACATCTTTACTGTATACATATACAGTATATGTGCATCATCAATATTGTACCTAAGGTTATGTTGTATTTTGATGATAAATAAGTTAAAGGTTTGTTGTACAGAGGTTTGAAAGGTCCCTCATTCTTGCTGCTATATTGTCTGTACAATATTGTACTGTATTATATATCTTACATTTTCAAGGACAGAAAGTCAGGTATCTGATGCCAGTTGACATCCATCTTGCTTATTAGATAAAAAAAAAAAAAAAGGCATATATGATTTCAGTTAATACATTTTTTGGTATTTGTAGCAATTTAGTTTTGATTATGCTAGTTGTTCAACGTTATCGAACTTTAATTCACTGTTTATTCATTGTGAAATTACCTCGAGTAACACTGAAAATGATGATTATATTTTGAGTGTGACAGTTCTTCCCAGGGACTTGCAGCAGCATCTTGAATTAAGCTGTGATAATTAGTAGAGATAATCGTGAGCCTAGTGTTGACACTAAGGTAGTGATCAAGAGTACCTGCAGATATAGCCAATTATTCAATATTCCTCTCAGTCATGACTGTTTAACCGATGAAATGTTAGCGTGGATGGTTCATTGATGTGTTGCTTCCATAGGTAACGACAGATTGTGTATTTGTGACATCATGTAGCTCTATAGTGGTTGAATGAAAGTTAGATTTTAGTTATTAAGGCATACATAAGCTCATTAAAGTTAACAGTATCATGAATGGTATCTTAATGTTCTCATTTAATCAGAAACCATTACTGGTAGTTGTGAAACCATAACTAATATTTTGATTGACTTTGTACAGTACTTCCATGGATTTCATTGCACACCTTAAAAGTTAATAGGTAATTCAAAAGAAAATATTTATTATAATTTTCAGATATTTGTAGTGTATACAGTTGATTACATACATAATATATTATGCTCTTAATAAAAGCAATTTCTCTTAAAAAAGGATTATATCTAGTGACAAAATGTTTCTTTAATTAAGACGTATAAACTAACACCAGATATGCTTCAGGGTTGACTTGCGTGACAAAAAACTGTGCAGAACTTGTATTAACTCTTATTGTTTAATTTAATTAAACGTAAAGCATTATTGGTAAGGTTGTATCTCTCTTAAGTTGTATATTGTGTTTACATTTAGTTAAGTGTCACTCTCATCATCTTTGTAGTGAAAAAGGCACTTTAAGATGGTATTAGTGGGTCATTATCACATGGGAGGAGTGTTGGGACGAGGGAAGTTTGGATGGGTGTCACGGGCCACACATCAGGTAGTTGGTTACCAGGTGGCAGTGAAGCACCAGCCATGGGCAGTAGGTGGGATGGGATGTGGAGGGAAATCTGGGGAACACGCAGATTGTCAGCACGTGGAGGAAACACGGTGGCGTGCAGCTTTAGAGAATGAAGCAGCTCTTCTGGCTCGAGTTTCACACCCGTCTGTTGTTGCTTTATTGGAGGTGATGCGTGGACCTACTGGTCTGTATGTATGCCTTGAAGACCTTGGTGATACCACTCTTGCTGCTCTGGTAACTCAACATTTTGAGAGAAATTGCATTGGTCTTGCTGAACCTATTGCTGCAATAATTTTTAGTCAAGTGGCTGCTGGTTTACATCATTTGCATAACCAGGGTATATTACACAGAGATGTAAAGCCGGAAAACATCATGGTTGTACCGGGTAAAACACTGCTGGCTCCAATTGCAAAATTAATTGACTTGGGTTTAGCTGCAGCATGGGAGCCCTCCTCACCTTTGACAACTGCCAGAACTCGGGCAGGAACTGTTTGTTACATGGCTCCTGAGCTCACATCATCAGCACATGAATATGGCCCAGAAGTGGATGTGTTCAGTTTAGGTGCTTCACTGTATTTTACTTTAGTAGGGGAAGTACCCTTCAGTGAATATGTGCGAAATGGATGTCGAGGCACTACATCGTTATTTGGTCTTCAGTTACATCACGAGGAAGCTTTGGATGCTTTAACACCTCAGGCAGCTGTTGTACTGCGTGCCATGCTTCAAACAAACCCTAAATGTAGGTGGTCTCTTCCAAGAGTGGCCGAGCATCATTGGTTTTGCAATCAATGCTCTACTTCTGTTGCCCTGAGCCAGCATCGTTGTTCTCTAATTAGAGGCAAAGGTGTTATCTTTGAACTAGATAGTGTATCTAATGTTGCTGAGAGTGAAAAGTCTGTTTTAAATCATTGTCAATTTGTTAAATTTGGCACTAATATTGAGAGATATGGAGAAGTAATAAGTGGTGAGAGTTGTAAATGTTTGCCCACCTCTGCTAAAAGCTATGACATACGCAACAATGTGGACGATAATGGGAGTAGCAGTAACAATATTGTTAATGTTGATGGTGACAGAAAACGTTGTTACTTGATAAATATGCAGTGTGTAGGGCGTGTATCTTCGCTCTTGCAGAAAGATTCCGATGATGTATTACAGCATCTGGGAGAGGAACCGTGGGGCCCTGTTGGCGGCATGTATAATCTGTTGCTTCATACCACACATACTGATGATCATACTTTAGTATTATAGGTAGGTCTATTTTTATTATAATCCAACATTTCATTGCACTGTTCAGTACTGATATGACTAAAGCTGACGATTTTGTGGTTTTAGAAATATGATTGTGTATTTCTGAACATATTTGGTTAATACAGTATTACAGAGTATACAAATAAGGATATGCTAACTTAAGATATTATCTCTGGATTTGTACACACAAAAATTCTGAACAAAATATTTCATGTTAAACAAAGTTTAAATTAATGATGAGATTATTTGGGAAAATCTGCATTTAGTTCAGTTACTATATTTTTGTATTAATGAAATAATAATTAAACCTTGATAAGATTATTTATTAAGAACAGTGCTGACGTTTTTGTTTTTTCTTTGTGCTAAATAATAATTCCTGTATAATTAAGTACAATATTACAGTACACTGGAATGTAAGTCTACGTAACTACTGTAACGTGTGTGTAACTATAGCACATGAGTAGTTAGTTTGTAATGATTACATTGCCATGGTAGCTTGATGCAATGTCATTTTTAAGTTGTAAAACTTATTTTTTATTGATGTTTATAGAAGTTTTTATTAAAGCATTTGTGTATACCAGTGTATCATTGATTCAGAAGTTTTTATACTGACTTAGCGTTTGTATTATTTTGAATGTGTTTCATGAGAAATTTAGAAATACTATTCCAAACTGTACCAACTTCCACTATCAGGTTAGATGTTCATGCAATGTTTTGCATTCAATGTTAGTATGTAAAATCTTTAAAATGTCTTATTTGTATGGATACCATCTCACATAGGAGTTGTCCAGCATGTTGACAAGGCAGCTAAAGCTGCATGTGATAAGCCTGAAATTGAGTTGGATGTGGGCAGTCCAATCTCTGCTGTAAAAGCTGCAATATTTCAGGAAATAAGGAAGGACAGAAGAGCAGTTACTGATACACAAAGGCCTGAAAGTACGAGTATAAAGCGTATGACATGTTTAGAGCTGAGAGTTATATGTACGGGCAGCATAAAAACATCCATTAGACAGTGTGACATTGTAATTGCTAGAATTAGGCTGAGATATTGATATCTGGCAGGTGGCTGAATGTAATGAATCCCCCAATGGTGAATATTCCAATTGTAAACAATGTCAACAAGAGCTACGACATACTCTCCAACACTATTTTCTGTGGCTGGAAGGAAACACGCATATAGAATTGGGGTACTTATTTATTAAATATATTTATTAATTAAATTATAAATAATAACAATTACAATTATCAGTAAATGTTCCATTATTATCTAAATTTACAATTAAATGAATTTATCATCAGTAATTAAAATTATTTATAGCTTAGCTATTTGCATGTACAGTACCTAGCAATCGTACATTCTTGCCGTAACTCATTTGTGCAGTAAGAAAATATATATTCAGGGAAAGGTACATACATTGAAAATGAGTTACAAACATAATTTTGGATTGATAGATAGAGCTAGTACACACAATCCCTGAGTCCACTAATATGCACAATGATGTGGGAAAATACTTAGACTAAAATTTAATACTAATTGAGATCAAAAGCATAAATTGAATTGTAAAAAGAAAAAAAAAGAAAAAAGAGAATGATAATTACATGATGGATAAAACAACAGAAAATGCAACAGAACAACAGAATGAATTTTAACTAAATAAACAGAAGATTACCATTTTTTTTAAGTTTATACATGACAGATATCAGCAGTTAAATAAGTTGGTTAATAATCAATAATGTTTGAAAATAGCAAGACATAGTTTATTAGGTAGTACTTAGTTTTTATCTTTAACTGGTTGAGAGATGTACAACCTTTGCCATGATTGGGAAGCTCATTCCACATTCTGGGTCCCTTGATTTGTAGAGCATTTCTAGTTTAGTGAAGCCACATTCTTGGAATATCAAATAGGTAATTGTTTCTATGCCCTGAGATGCCATTGAGTGTCTGCCTGTGTTAATGGAGCTCGACAGTGAACCGACCCTGGAAGAACTCAGCGATGCCCTGGACTCCCTTGCTTCTGGTAAAGCTCCTGGCAAAGATGGCATTCCTGCTGAGACCTTGAAGTGCTGCAGAGGTAGCCTGCTCATGGAGCTGCACGAAATTCTCTGCCTCTGCTGGGAAGAAGGAGAGGTGCCACAGGACATGAGGGATGCCAACATCGTCACACTGTATAAGAATAAAGGTGACAGGGGCAACTGCAACAACTACCGTGGAATCTCCCTCCTCAGTATTGTCGGAAAGCTGTTTGCTCGAGTCGCATTGAAGAGGCTCCAAGTACTTGCAGAGAGAGTCTATCCAGAATCACAATGTGGATTCAGAGCTGGCAGGTCCACCATCGACATGGTTTTTTCCCTCAGACAACTGCAGGAGAAATGCAGGGAACAGAAGCAGCCACTCTTTGTAGCCTTCATAGATCTGACGAAGGCCTTCGACCTCGTCAGCAGGGATGGCCTGTTCAAGATCCTCCCCAAGATCGGATGCCCACCCAGGCTCCTCAGCATCATCAGATCTTTCCATGAGAACATGAGGGGCACCGTGGTCTTTGATGGCCTAACATCAGACGCCTTTGACATCCGAAGTGGAGTAAAGCAGGGCTGCGTACTGGCTCCAACCCTATTCGGGATTTTCTTCGCAGTTATGCTGCGGCACGCCTTCGGATCTGTCACGGAAGGCATTTACCTCCGAACCAGGTCGGATGGAAAGCTCTTTAACCTCGCCAGGCTGAGAGCCAAGACAAAGGTTCGGCTGAGGTGTCTGCGCGACTTCCTCTTTGCCGACGATGCAGCAATCACTGCCCACTCAGCTGAAGACCTCCAACGGCTCATAACCCGCTTCAGCGAGGCCTCTCAGGCTTTCGGACTCACCATCAGTCTGAAGAAAACACAAGTCATGGGACAAGGAGTGGACTCCCCACTTGACATCGGCATCTCTGATTCCAAACTGGAAGTTATTCACGACTTCGTGTACCTGGGCTCCACAATCTCTGACTCCCTCTCTCTTGATACGGAGCTAAACAAACGCATCGGTAAGGCATCTACTACCATGTCCAAACTGACAAAGAGAGTGTGGGCCAACAATAGGCTAACTGAGTATACTAAGATTCAGGTTTACAGATCCTGTGTCCTGAGCACTCTCCTTTATGGCAGTGAGTCTTGGACACTCCGCGCCCGTCAGGAAAGACGGCTGAATGCCTACCACATGCGCTGCCTTAGACACATCTTGGACATCACCTGGCAGGACAAGGTGACAAACAACAACGTCTTGGGGAGAGCAAGAATCACCAGCATGTACACAATGCTGAAACAGAGACGAATGCGCTGGCTCGGGCACGTTGTGCGAATGGGCGACGGCAGGATCCCCAAGGATCTCCTGTACGGAGAGCTGAGGCAGGGAAAGCGTCCAGTAGGCAAGCCCCAGCTACGGTACAAAGACGTATGCAAAAGGGACCTGAAAGCCATGGACGTCGATCTTGCTATATGGGAGACACTGGCTGCAGACCGTTCAGCCTGGAGGCAGTCTGTTCAAAGAGGTCTCTCCAAGTTCGAGGAGTCACTTGCCAAGGAATCGGAGGCAAAGAGACAGAGAAGGAAAGCCGGTAACCAGGAAGACAGACCAGAATCGGACTTCGTTTGTGCTCGGTGTGGGAAGGACTGCTACTCTCGGATTGGCCTCATCAGTCACACCAGACGCTGCACCAGGATTGACAACTAGGGCGCAACTCCATAGTCTCCCGAGACTGAAGGATGCCTACTACTTAATTGTTTCTAGTTTGGGGCCCATGGGTTCTGATACAACATCCTAGGAAGTGTTTAAGGCCAAGATTGGCATTACTGTTCAGAGTTTTATATATACAGAATACACTTGAGATGATGTGCAGTGACTTTATATCTAACATATTCAAAGATTTAAGGGTGCGATGTGAATTTATGCTTGGTAAACATTAATCATGGGATTAAATAATTATGTGCTAGATGAGATGCCACAGTTAACCAGCTATGTAAACTAAGGCTTCAGCCAGAAGTGGAAGCTTATGACTTTATGGGGTTCCAGCAGAGCACCCCACCTGCCATGTCAGCAGGTGCTGAACCCCCATCCCGAAGGCAAGCATTAGGTGGCAGTGGTAGCATCCCATCTGATGTAGGTGTTGTTTGTAGGCCAAGATAGATAACAAAGGCTAGGAATATGAAAGGATAACATAAGCAATTGACTGGTGCCATGGTGGGTCCGCCCCCACCCTGAATGGAGAGAGAGAATAGCACACCACCCTGTCCACTACATTGGGGTTGACATTTGTGCTGTATGATGTTGCTTGGTCTGTGGCTGCATCCATGCCCATAACATCCGATTCTGCCTTTAAAATAAACAAAACAGGTTTTCCTGAACTGAAAAAAGGTACAGATTCTGTCTTACAAGACAAATGCTGCAAGCTAAGCAGCATCTGGCATGTGAACCAATGGAACACCATTTGGAGTACAGATAGGCAGGGTAGACCATTCCTATATGTTCTTGCGAGGTGGGCGTTCTGCGACAGGTTTGCATGCCAAAAATATGGAGTGCTGTGCACCACACCCTAGAATGTATGCCAGGTCGCCTTCATGGATGTCGTTGTCGCTGGGGGCCAGCCCTCCAAGGTTTACCCCAGGGAGGGTGTGTTGAGTGGTACCTGTCTGCACAGAGGGTGACTCCCCAGTGTTGACCTCGCATCTGGCCGTGTCTCTGTAGCCCGCCCTCACAGAGACCAGCCCCCCACCCTCAAGGCTGGCCCCATGGCGGGTGTGGGAAGTGGAACCTGTCTACACAGTGGCTGACTCCCCACTCCCCAGGGTCAACCCCGTGGTTGGCGTTGTCACTGCAGTCCACCCTCACAGTGACCAGCCTTGGGGTGATGGCAACCTGTCTGCACAGAGGCCGTCTCCCCTGAGTTGATCTCTCAGCAGGAATGAGTTCTGTAGCCTGCCCTGGGGCTACATCCAGTTTTCACAGGTCCTTGAGTGGGTTCTGTATACTGTATTTAGAAACATGAATATTCTGTTACAGCACTGTATAATCTTCTGGGTTTGGAACCTTCCTTTGATAATTTACTAATTATAAAATCAGTAGGATGCTTAGCTGACTGGGCATCTAGAGGTAATAAAACACCCCAAAATTAGTTATATCATTGTAATATGGATGTAATCATACAATTGCATTGTAATTTTATATACAGATTTTATTTAGTTCCCTTTCAAAGGAACCACCTTGATATTTTCCGACCATTGAGTATGCCTTCCACTTTTACCTCTTCAACTTTTTGTAGTGACTTGGCAACAATGTGTGCCTAGTATCTTGGGTTTCCTGTTGGGGTTATCAGACCACTCACTGGAAGGGGTCACCCTATGTGACCAAGGTGACCAAGGGAGCCGGTCGGCCAAGCGGACAGCACACTGGACTTGTGATCCTGTGGTCCTGGGTTCGATCCCAGGTGCCGGCGAGAAACAATGGGCAGTTTCTTTTACCCTATGCCCCTGTTACCTAGCAATAAAAATAGGTACCTGGGTGTTAGTCAGCTGTCACGGGCTGCTTCCTGGGGGTGGAGGCCTGGTCGAAGACCGGGCCGCGGGGACACTAAAAAGCCCCGAAATCATCTCAAGATAACCCTGTGTGGATTGACATGGGTGGCTGGGTTGAGGATGTTTGCTGTTTGTACCAGCTTGTACTTAACCTCCCTCACTACTGTCCTGGTAAGTGTTTACTATACATATAAACAATTTAGAGGACTGACAACATTTGCAAATTTGATATAAAAATAGGGCAGGAAATCAATTCAGATGAAGGCACAACATCCCTATGAGTAGATCAAGATAGGTATATCCATTGAGCCTTGGTGTGTCACAACGGAAAGTTTCTTATACCTGGAGATATTAGAATTTTGCATCAAGATTGAAACCTTATGTTGAATTGTCGGAATGTACTGAAGAGGGTGAGAATAGCTTGAGCTACCTCGTCCCTTTGTGTGTATTTGTATCTCAATAAACTTATTTAAATTTCAAATCTGGATAGGCTTTGAAATTAGACGAAAGATTGGCCGATACAGTTTAATGCTGAGAAACATAGGGTACTGAGCTTAGTTAATAAATTTAGTTAGCAGATACCAGCAGTTGAACAATGTTGAAAGTGAAAAGTTTGCCTGAGAGAAATATCTAGGATTCATGATTGGGAGGGATCTTTTGCAATAAAATATATACTGTATGCATGTATAAAATAAAGCAAATAGGATACAGTACTTGGTTTTCTAGAAACATTAGCAATGTAACACCTAACCAGCTGGCCTGGGGTCGAGCAGAGGCCTTGGGTTCAAGCATATTTAGATCTGTGAGTAGAACCTTTGACAAAGTTCCAGGAGAGAGGCAGAAACCCAGATGGCCTACATGGAGATGTCTGTAATTGGGCCTCACTGTAGGCCATTTGGGTTTTTACCCCTTTTATAGACCTTTGTCAAAGGTCACACTCATATGAACAAATGTAGAGTGTAGTGTCACACTCGTAGCTCTAAATATACTTGACCCCAGACTGAACACTCCACAGGACCCCAAGACCCCAGGCTAGCTTTTACAGCAATAAGACTTCTAATGTTATTCTTCAATGTTTTCCTGTCCTTGTTAGGTACCATTTAGATTATGCAGTTTAGTATTGGTTGCCGTACTTTATAATGGACTTGAATTCACTTCACCAAATACTGAGAAGGATGACAGAGTTTATCCCAGGAATTAGAAACATTCTTAATGAAGCAATTAAAGTTCTTCATTTACTTTATCTAGAAAGGCAAAGTGTAAGTTAAATGATTGAAGGACAGAAAAGCATAAAGGAAATGTAAACAAAGTTTCAAACATAACACAAAACAATAAATACAAACTGGAGAAGTTTAGATTTAGAAAAGACCTGAGTAAACACTGGTTTAGAAATGGGTCATCCTTCTCTTCATGCGATCAAGTGAATTCCCGTCATGTCCATTATATAGAATGACGACCACTTCTAACCTGCATGATCTACATAGGACCTTACACGGGCACCTTCTACCTTGGCAAGATAAAGCTGAAGAAGCATAATATTAAGTGTACCACGTGCAGTCATGGGGAGGACAAAGACCCCTACACTTTAAAACATTTAACTTCATTTGCCAATATTTTTTTTTTCATTTTCCATATTCTTATCTAGATTGTTTTGTAGCAATTTTGTGTCTTGATATAAACTTAGTTCCCATCCTATTTTTGTAATCAACAAATTTGCAAATGCTACTGTTGACGCCTATGTCTAAAGCAATTATAATTTTGGTAAACAAGAAGTCCCAGGACAGCCCTGGGGTACTCCATTTAAAACAATTTTCTATTGGGTCTTAATTGCATATATGCTAATTCTCTGTTTTTTTTTTTTAAGAACTTTGCTTTTGGCTGGGGAAGCAACTGAGATTTTGCTCAGAATAAATAATTAAAGCACATTAATCTGCTACCGAGTAGAAGTATGCCTCTTTTCAATAACCACCATTACACTTTCTCATTTTCAGAGTTATTCAAGTTAAATGGCCTAGTTCCATTGGGGGCTTTGTAAAACCAAAAGCCCGACATATTTCATGAAGATTCAGTGAATGCACACTGAATATTTTTCTTAACTTATGACACTGATAAGCTCGTACAAATTTCTTGAATGCTAACTTTGCCATCTGCTGTATTTCCATATCATTCAAGACAAAGGAATCAACCTGGGGAAAAATAAAATATTAAGGAGCTTTGATAAGCAGCTGCCACCTAATGGTGGTTGGGTCTGACATAGCTGCCTCTTCCTGCTATCACTTTAATCTAACTGCACTTATAAAGCAGTACGTTTGTATCATTGTAAATGGTGTACATGTAACATGAAGCATAAATGAACATTTCAGTAACCACCATTAAACTTTCTCATTTTCAGAGTTCAGAAGAAACCAGATAGTAAAACAAGAACAGAAAATTTATGACTCGCCATATATCTTAGTTACAAACAGGTCCAAAAAATATTTCCTCAGAAAAGCTATTGACTACATTTAACATTTAATGTTCACATATGACAGCAAACTGAGCATCTACCAATGAACTTTAATTAAACTTTGCATCCTTACCTTGTTTTGAATTTCCTTCAAATCTCCATGAAACTCTAGCTGTTCAATTTCAACCTTCATAGTTTTCAGGACATCAACAAATTGGTTCTCCTCAGGTCTCAAGAAAAGAAGTGCTTGACCGACACTACCTTCCCCACGACCAGTGCGTCCAACACGATGAATATAGTCCTGTGGAAAATATAGTTTGTTAAAAATGAAAACCACGCCTTCAGTCATTGATCTACAAATTTCACTTACAAATATACACTTGTACCCTGACACATTTAAGTAAGAAGGTGGTGGAGGCCAAAAAACCAGCGTTGAATGTAATGAAACGCCATTTCCTGGGAGAGACCCGGAGGCTCGCCGGAGCTTATCCAGGCTGATATGGAACTACAGGGGTACCTCATTTTAAGAGTTTAATCCGTTCCTGGAGACAGCTCGTAACCCGAAAACTCGTAAACCGAAGCTAATTTTCCCATAAGAAATAATGGGAAATGAATTAATCCGTTCCCGACTACCCAAAAACCTCATTTCAAACTAAATTTTATACGTATTTCATCAAAATCTACACTACAAAAGTATGTTCAAGTTATTATTTACCCTTGTTGATGACTCCTGTTGGTGTATGGAAGATGGTGGGGAGGGGGAGGAGGAGAGGAGTTAGTGTTTGGAAGGGAAGTCCCCTTCCATTATAACATCAGGCAGTGAGGACCTCTCTGGGGTGCATTCTCTGGCACGTTTTGCCTGCATACCACTAGGTCCTGGTTGTGGCTCACTGCTTGATTTTCTCGCAACAAAGCGTTCCATTGACGATTGTTTTTCCCTTCTTCGCAAGATTTCTCTGTAGTGAGGCATCACATTGTCATTGAAAAGATTTATGCAACGGCCTACTACAACTTTCTCTGGGCGAGTTGTTTCAATAAAAGATTGCATTTCTTCCCATATCTGACACCACTTCTTAATGTTTGTGGAAGGGACAGTCTGTACTGCCTCATCCTCCTCCACTGGAGAAACATCCTCAGCTGTGCCTTTTTCCTGTTCCTTTTGAAGGGCTTTGAGTTCTTCGTTGTGTTCTTCCACCAACTCCTCCACATCAGCACCATCCAATTCCAAGGCCATTTGCCGGCCCAGAGTAACAATTTCCTCAACAATAGGCACATCTTTTACAGGCTCAAACCCATCAAAGTCTAGTTCTGGCACAGATTCAGGCCACAATTTTCTCCAGCCAGAGATCAGGGTTCTTTGAGTTACTTCTTGCCAGGCTTTGTCAACGAGTTTTAAAGCACTACAAATGTTAAAGTGATGTTTCCTGAACTCTTTGAGGGTGAGGTTTGTGGCTTCAGTCACTTCAAAACATTTCCGGAAAAGTGCCCGTTCATAAAGTTTCTTAAAATTCGCCATGATTTTCTGGTCCATAGGCTGAATTAGAGGAGTGGTGTTAGGAGGAAGGAACTTTTCAGTGAGAAAGTTACTGTATCTGTGCAACAATTCATCTTCCATGCCTGGAGGATGAGCAGGAACATTGTCGAGGAGAAGCAGGGCCTTGAGTGGCAAAATGTTTCTCCTGCAGATATTTTTCTATGGCAGGGCACACCACTTCATTCACCCACTCCAAAAAAAAAAAAAAAAAAAAAAAAAAAAAAATCCTAGTCACCCATGCCTTATTATTTACCCTCCACATCACACACATTTGGTTTTTCTGCACTTTATACTGCTTGAAAACCCTTGGATTTTCAGAATGATACATAAGCAAGGGTTTAATTTTCAAATCGCCACTCGCATTTGAACACAGCACAAGCGTAAACCTATCTTTCATAGGCTTGTGTCCAGGTAAGGATTTTTCTGCCTTGGTAATGTATGTCTTCTTAGGCAATATTTTCCAGAACAGTCCTGTTTCATCACAATTAAACACTTGTTGTGGTAGGTATCCCTCAGCCTCTGCAAACTCTTTAAATTCTTCAATAAATCTTTCAGCCGCTGGTTTGTCTGAACTGGCAGCCTCCCCATGCTTCACAACACTATGAATACCACTTTTTCTAAATTTTTCAAACCATCCCCTGCTTGCCTTAAAGTCTATCGTATCTGCACTCGTTCCTGGGGTTTTCTTTACAAGGTCTTCGTGCAATACCCTGGCTTTCTCACAATTGATGGCCTCTGAAACACTATCACACTTTAACTCTTTGTCATGTATCCAAATTAATAACAACTTTTCCACATCCTCAAGTATTTGTGGTCTTTGTTTCGTGATTGTTGATACGCCTTTTGCCACTTTAGCACTCATAATGTCTTTTTCTTGGCAAGTATAGTGCATATCGTTGACGTGGATTTGTTGTACTGCCTACAAAGTTCAACAACACGTGCACCATTTTCATGTTTCCGAATGATCTCTTGTTTTCCTCTACTGTCATCCTCACATGTGATTTCTTGCCTTGAACCTTACCACTGGCTTTCTTGGGACCCATGGTGAGATATATAATAACAACTTTTATGGTCAAATGGCCAAAAATCCAACAAAACACTGTAAATCCTGGTGAAGAATTCAGGCGGGATAGACACTGGGCGCGAGGCACTGGTAAACTCAGGGGCAATCGCCGTGCCACCACGCGCTAGGTTGGCGCGTACACGTATCAACACCCCTGTATTCCGAGGCAACGCTCGTATCCCGATGTAAATTTTCCAAGCAATTTTCCGAGTTTCGCGTACTAGGAGGATATCGTTCATCTGTAGTGGCGCATTGGTGGCTTGTGCCTTTCTTGCAATCTATACTCTCCCCCATATGGTGCCAATTAGGCCATATGTTATCACCTTCGAGCCCAACACCATTGTATATTATGTTCATATCCTTTACATGGTTGTAACGAAGTGTTTCAGATTAACCAATCATCAAATGAAACTTTATCGTATGTTATGTGAATTGTGTGATTTATCAAGTTATTCAACACACACATATTCTTGTAAAGAGAAGCACATGATAAATAGTCAGAGAAACACAGGAGTCGTGTCTTGCATACCTCGGTGTCAGCAATTTGGGCATCGTGTATTGACAGACACCAGACTACAGCCACCGCACAACCTTTCAGTCCCTCCACCCAGTAAAATGAAAAATATTCACTTATTTTCATGTTTTTTTTTTTACCTTTTACATACAAATTAATAATTGCATAATGAAAAATAATTTTTTTAAATTATTAAATTTTTTGTGCATAGACAGGAATTACAATTTTGCTATAGCTCCTGTCTAAGGGTTAAGAGATGAAGTTAGAAAGGAATTTGTCAAATACACAAAACTGATACAAAATACAGTATTGTAAATAGAAGCATCCTAATTAATTTTTATCTAGATCAAGAGGAGGAGGCAGTCCTGTAAAAGGTGATCCAGGAAAGTCGCACAGAAATCTGGGGCATAGACCCAAGTGCCCAGGGCACACACCAGGATACCCAAGGCACTGTATATTATAGGTAAAGTCTTGCAACCCAACTAGCAGAGGAACTCGGTCAAAACACCCAAAACACCCTACCAACCAACATTCAAAGGTGAGAGCCAGGTGCATGATATATCTCCACTATCCCAGTGACTGATGCAAAGGTGAGAGCCAGGTGCATGATATATCTCCACTATTCCAGTGACTGATGCAAAGGTGAGAGCTAGGTGCATGATACATCTCCACTATCCCAGTGACTGATGCAAAGGTGAGAGCTAGGTGCATGATATATCTCCACTATCCCAGTGACTGATACAAAGGTGAGAGCCAGGTGCATGATATATCTCCACTATTCCAGTGACTGATGCAAAGGTGAGAGCCAGGTGCATGATATATCTCCACTATCCCAGTGACTGATGCAAAGGTGAGAGCCAGGTGCATGATATATCTCCACTATCCCAGTAACTGATGCAAAGTGTCTAACCACCTCATGAGCCAACACTAAATGCAACACCGAGGAATCAACCCCCGTCAGCATCAGGTCCCACTCGGAGACAGATAACCAGATAGTTGACCTTGCCAGAGATCGACTAGAAAGGACTGTCTGCAGAGGACTAATTGAACTCTTCAGAGAAGGTAACTGGTAGAGAAGTCTTTGCTGATAGCACAACAGGGCTAAGACCAATAAGCACAAGCAGATGGAGTGTGTGATTATATTCCTCATACAAAACAAACGGCATACATGCTCATAAAATGTAACTGGCATATAACCCTTAGACAGGCCACAAGGGCCAAGGAAGCGCTAAAATTCAGCTGAAAAGTAGAGGGTAAGGTCACTGTGCTCTCATTCAGTGTTGTTGTTCGGCATTTTTTCAAAACACTTCTTGGATGGAGTACAAATCTCCTCAAGTCTACTCTCGATGCATGTAAGATAGTTTATCCCAATTATGAGTAATCAATAATCCTCATGTGTTCCCCATTTTTTAGAGTAGGTTAACACACAGAAATCACAATAGCCTGATGCATCAAATGAACAAATCCACAAGGGCCGTGATGAGGGTTCGAACCTACGTCCGAGAGAATTTCGGACACGTCTTCGACTGAGCCTTTGCCTTCGACTGAGCCTTAGCCTTCGCCTTAATTGACTGAGCTACAACATAGTAAAAGAATTGTAACCAGGAGTTCATCTTGACCTACCACGGATCCTGCAGTCTCTTCAAGACACAAACCAGGATTTTACACAATTCCCCCATGCACCCCAGCTCTGCCAATAAGCATGGGGGAATTGTGTAAAATCCTGGTTTGTGTCTCAGAGAGACTGCAGGATCCGTAGTAGATCAAGTTGAACTCCCGGTTTCAATTCTTTTACCATGTCGTAGCTCAGTCGATTAAGGCGCGTCTGGGATTCTCTCGGACGTAGGTTTGAACCCTCATCACGGCCCTTGTGGATTTGTTCATTTGATGCATCATGCTATTGTGATTTCTGTGTGTAATGAAGTAAGGGCAAAGAGGTAGAATAGCTTATTGGCAGAGCTGGGGTGCATGGGGGGAATTGTGTAAAATCCTGGTTTGTGTCTTGAAGAGACTGCAAGATCCGTAGTAGATCAAGTTGAACTCCCGGTTTCAATTCTTTTACCATGTCGTAGCTCAGTCAATTAAGGCGCGTCTGGGATTCTCTTGGAAGTAGGTTCGAACCCTCATCACGGCCCTTGTGGATTTGTCCAGAGTAGGTTGAGTTGCAAAAGAACCTTATTCCTGTTAGGTAATGAGCCTCATGAGTACCTGGTATCAGCTAGTCTGGCCAGTAATGGCTGGTGATAAAATTAAAGGAGGTAACTTTATCTATCAAGAAGGTGAGCCAAAGATTTTATTCTATAGTACAGTGCATAAATTATTATTTATTCTTTTTTAGGAAAAAGTCCTTGGTCTTGGAACACATCCTGTTTCCCATTAAGATTTTAAACTACATATTACGTGACCAGTTTGATACAGCGTCTCCAGGAATGTATGCCCAAGCAAAACTGGAAATGCACTTTGAAGAAAAATGGAGGTCCTGGAAATGTCTACATTGAAAGATAGAATACGAGAAGACATAACATCTAGTAGTCACATTTAAATTTAAAACATGATATGAGAAGGTGTGTTGATCTTTTGAAAACAAAACTTGGTAGACCAAAAGATACCAACCTTCAATTGCTGAAAATACTGGACATTAAAGTATTGATTGGTAGATGGTTGGAACGGACTCAAAGATTGTTGACCAAACCACACACTAGAAATTGAAGAGACGACGACATTTTGGTCCATTCTGGACTATTATCAAGTCATCAATTTCTAGTGTGTGGTTTGGTCAACATTTTCCAGTCACATTATTGTGACTCATCATCTGCAACTCCAAGATTATGTCAAAATCACCAAAAGGTTAATTTTTGTTATTGATAAATTATACGAGGAAAAAGGGAACACCTCAAGCATACAAAATATTGACCATAAACATGTAATCACAAACTGGTAGAAATGCATACACTCCTTCATCCACTTTCTTCACATCTATGACTTATTAACCACGATGATACTTTCATTAGGATGTTTACAGGCAAATTAATGCTTAAATTTATTCAGCAATAAGTGATGAGAGAAAAAAATCCAATATACCTCAGGTTTGTGTGGAGGATCGTACTGAATTATCCAATGAATCCCGGGAATGTCCCAGCCCCTCTCTGCCATTCCTGTCGTCAGAAGAATCCCTCGTGACAACTCCAGGAACTTGGCATACACACCAGTACGCCGAACTTGTTTTTCCTGACCCTGTTGATGGAGAGGAAACTTCTCAACACACCACTACATTATGACATGTTTATTTAATTATGCTTTTTCACAAAAATTAAGCAACTTTACAGAAAACCAGCGTTGAATGTAATAAAATGCCATTTTCTGGGTGAGCCTCGGAGGCTATCTGGAGCTACTGGGGTAATGTGTGATATATTAGACCGAGGCATTAGTCTAAGGAGTTTGACCTACCGGGGACCATCAGCCAGAACCTGGCCCCCCTCAGAGAGGTTCAGGGAGCAATGGCCCTAGAAAACCCTGTGGTTGGGGGGTTTCCTTATCTGCCATCGACTGGAAACTGCCAGCACCCAGAAAAGTAGGCATAACAAAACAAATGCCACATGGTAAGAAAATGCAACTAAAAACCTAAAATGCGAGGTAGAACTCCCTCCAATCCCAAGCAAAAAAGCAAACATCACACTCCACTGCTATGCTGTTCGTCCGTGCAGCCTTTCCCAACCCGCGCTGGCTACCTAGCACTCCAGTTCGGAAGCTAGGCATCAAACAACGAGAAAAACTGCTGACCCGGAGAGAGGGAGGGTTGCCAGGGAGCCTCCTGGGTTTACCCAGAAAATGGCATTCCATTACATTCAATGCTGATTTTTTATGGGGAGCCCTGTCAGCTCCCTGGAGCTACATAACCAAAGATAAGGAAAAGGGGGACTCACCCGGGAGGCGGCCGCCACAAATTCCTCAATGAGAAGGCGAGACAACTGGCTGCAACCTGCAACCCAAAGCAACACAGGAACACCCAGGAGCAGGAACGTTGACCAAATAACGGGAGGCCAGGATCCTGTTCGACCTCAAAAATCCCCGCGCCTGAATATCAGCTCAAGACATGTTGCAAACGAGGCAGCCAATGCAGCAAACTTCCTAACGTCATGGGCACGAGGATAGACCACAAGCTGGCTAGACTTAATAACCCTGTGGACGACCTGGGAGACACGAGCCCTGGAACAGGGAATGAGGGAAACCAGATCAACCCAAGCACATCCCCCAGCCACAGAAGCTGAAGCGAGCAGATAACAGCAGAGAGCCGCAACCAGACAACACATGATGCACCCACAGCCTGACCAACCAAGCATCAATGACCCAAGGACCTCTCCGGAAAGCAGCTGTCTTGTTCTTCAGCAGAAAAGGAGAAGGCTGCAACCGAACAATACCATCAGGACCGAAAGAGCAGAAACCCCTGCGCCAGAGGAGAGCATGCAGCTCACCGACTCGACCCACAGTGGTCAATGCCAACAGAATCAGAGCCTTGGAAAAACAATCTTGAACCGAAGGGGCCACCACAAACGGAGGCGCGGAAAGACAGAAGAGCAAGAAGAGCCTGTCCAAGGACTAGGATGGCTCAGGCGGTGCATGAGTAGGCACAGAGGTGAAACAACGCACGAGAAATCTAATGGAACGGGGCAGAAGTGACATGCACCCCAAATGCAAGCTGGAGAGGCTCCGCCAGTGCCACACGATACGAGACGACAGTATTGGGAATCAAATGACGGTCCTAAAAAAGCCAAGACAGAAAGGACAAGACAACCCGATCAGAAATAGAAGACAAACCATGGAAAGAAAATGGCAGAAAGAATGCTAGGAAACTTCATACTGTTGCCAAGACAAACCTCTCAGGTGGGACACCATCAACGAAGCCACCAGATCACCATACAAATGGTGATAAACCCGCGTCAAAAAGACCAGATGAGAAGAGCAGAGAAGACCAAACCAGCTGTGTACTGGACTGGTCCGACTTGCTGGAAGAGGCGGAGCCACGCGAAACGTCCCGGGTTCGCACACTGAGCAAGCAGCACCTGGAACCAAGGCTGGGCTGGCCACCAAGGGGCCCACGAGGACTACTCTCTCTCTCTTGGTAGGACTCCAATCTAGCCAGAACCCAAAGCAACAGCTGGACCAGGGGGGAGAGATACAGGTAACTCCCACCTCAACCAGTCCTGCTGAAAAGCGTCCACCGCGAAAGCCTCGCAATTGGGAAAGGGCATTACATAATTTGGGAGACGCCTCAATCACGCCGACATGAAGAGGTCCACATACGGGAGTCCGTACGTCTGGCAGAGCCAAATGAACTAGTCGGCGTCGACCTTCCATTTCGTTGACAGGGAAATAAACTGGGACAGGTCATCCGCCAGGACATTGGACACCTCCTCGAACGTAAACGGCCAGGACAACCAAACCCCAAGAACTCAGCAGACGAGTCACCCAAAACGACCAGCCCCAAAAAGTCAAGGACTGCATTGAGCTCCCGCTGTTCAGCCAATGAACCATCGGGGAGCAGTCCGAGTGGAGCCGGATCGTTGAACCTCGAATGACCTGAATCCTCCGAAGAAACATCCAGGGACGAGGACATTTTGACCACGCCCAAGTGAACCCACTCCAAGATGGCCCGACAGAGCGCAGGAGAAGAGGCCTGCTCCACCAGCCCCAAACCCTCCGAAGGAGAAGGGGCCATCCAACATCACTGCAGGCCGCAAGAAATGACCCGAAATACCCACAAATTGTGGGACCAGGCGTGAGCAAACAGCATGAGCCTCCCCCCATCACCCCGTCAATGGGATGACCCTAGAAAGAGCCAACGCCCCTTACGAGAAGCCGACTGATGAGCAGAGCCATCACCGCGCCGAAGTGATGCCCCCCCCCACCTAGAAACTAACAAATCCAACATTGGATGACAACTAGAAGAAGCTGCCTGCAGATACTGCACCACCGCAGACTCTGCAAACAACAAAGGACAAAAAGGTGTAGTTATTCTAAGAGTCAGGGGCTCAACCGGATTCCAAGGACTGAGCGAGCACCGCCTGATGGCACGTGAGATGAGAAGCAAAGAACAAGAAACACTGCCTCCCACAGGATTGGTGCAAACAGCTTCAACAGACAATGAAGGTGTGGGTCAACGCCTGCACCGCCGAGACCAGCGCACCAGACCCAGGGTTGACACCCAGTGCCCCCACATCCTCCTCAAGCCAGTCCGAAGATAACTCAAGAAGGGAAAAGAAACGCAGGGCCAAAAACCAAATGGTCCCAGGCGTGCAAGTCCTCAGCTACCAGGGTCACCGAAAGGGAGGGAACCTGCACCAGGCCGATGTCCCAAGGAAGGGCAAGGGGTGAACAAACACGCATTGAGGCGTTCAAATTCGCCTCCCAGGTAAACCTGAACAACTGTGAGAGCCTTTCGCCACTCAAGCATGCAGGACCAACAGAACGTATGCCACGCCCCCAAAGAAAAGAGAGGACAGTCTGCCAGCCAGGATGATTTAGAACCTCGTAACGATCCCAGTAAGGAAAGGAAGAACCGAACTCGAAAGAGGCAGGATCCATTATCGAGGCGTAATCCGGGTCATGCAGGAGGTAAGACACAAGGGCCTCCCGCATCTCATGAGGTGGGATGTGGGAGGCTGAAAACCTCCGGTAGGAAGGGACCGAAGAACCCAAGGGAATCTGGAACCGAACCCGGGGAGGAGCTGACGTCACATCAAACTCGTACACGGAGGGAGGGAGGTTAAGAAAACTCCATTCCCCTGTAACAACAAGCCCTGCTCAGGGGGGCTTGTTGATACACCCAAGCGAGGGTCAAACGAGGCCCAAGCCCCCAAAGTCAGCCCCTCCCCCACCTCGGGAACCTCCACACCAGGACCCGGGGCCGAGCCGTCCTCCAAATCCTCCACCTCAAAAGAAAAGGCAGAGTCCACAGAAAAGCAGGAAAGAAGGGGGGGGCCCACTGGTCAGACCCAGAAGTACTGGCTGGAGGAATTGACTCGAATGCCTTTGTTGGCACACCAGATGGGGCATCCCCCGAAACTGCCCGAGTTTCACCACCAACTAAACCCTGCCCTGACTCTGAAACCCTCAGACACTTCGGAGCCGGGTGTAGGTTGGGGAGGAATGGGACGAACAACAGTAGGGAAAGGATAAGGGAGCGCAGGCGAAACCAAAGTCGAGGCGACTAACGCCTTCAAGTCTGGATCACTATAACCAAAACGGGGCAGCAGCAGGGCATCTGGGTGTGCAACCAACCTAGCAGCAACCTAAAATGCAAACAATGCTGAAGCTTCCTGCACCCGAATATCAAGATCAGGGGACTTGGTGAATTGGAGTATAAGCAAGGAACACCACTTGCAGGACTCCGGGTCAAAGGTGTCACTGACCCAACAGGCAGCATGAAGGAGGCACAACTGGCAATTGTCACCCTGAGACAAGGGGACAGAGCAATCTTCAAATTCACACAAAGCGAGATGGGACCCAGGGGACGCATCCATTGACCAACTGAGCCCCAATGTGGGTTTCCAGGGCCCTTAGATACTCTGCTAAAGGAAGCCCAGGCAAGGTACTACTAACCGGTGCACCAAACTACCAAGCAAACTACTAAGTGCTGAACCCATGTGACGTGTACACTCACAGGGACCTAGTGGAGGACCACCAAGAAAATATATATACAGTATATAAAGGTCAACAACACCAAGGGGCAGATCCCCCACCCAGGCAGAAAAACAAAAATAAAAGGAAAACCCTGCAAGAGTACAACGTCCCCAGGCAGAACAGGGCCAGCCATTAAATTATGGTGAAAACTTGCTGCACAGTACCTTGTGCCCCTAACAGTGACGAAACTACCTCCTACCCAGAGGCAAACTATGGCGCAAGAAGCACCCCCAGCTGACTCTAAGGGCAGGCAATTACAGAGCAGCAAAAGACCAAAGCGGAGGTAGGTCCCAAGCGACTTGTGGAAGGTAACCCCACACACAAGGGCAGTACTTACAAGGCACCTAGGGAAGGTAACCCCTAGCACATGCAGCCCGAGTACTTGTGAAATTACTCCTGGTCCGCACACCACCACAGGACAGGACCACACCACAAGGCACAGCACTGAACAACACCAGGGACCAGAGTTGCATGACTGCCCGGTCTCACATCAGCCTCAGAACTGGGGATGGATAGCTGGCGCAGGGGGTCTGGAGTTCCCCCTTCTCCCTCCTGGGGAGGGGGGAGCTGTGCAGACAGCGGCATGGTGACAGGTGTGACGTGATTCTAATTTGCTCGTTTTAGTTTGGAGAGTTCTGTTCAATAGTTCGGTTTTTAGTTGCAAATTTTTAACCAGATAGGGTTTGTTTTGGGGCACCTACCTTTCTGGGTGCCTGACCCAGTCGATGGCAGACATTCGCTTTGACCGATGCCAGTCTAATACATTCATATAAACCCGTATAGCTCTGGGGAGCCGAAGGGGCTCCCCACAGAAAATGCTCCAGATGAATCCATAAATCCAGAACATTAATTAAATAAAATATAATGTGACATTCAATTTCTTAAAATGTGTCAACAAACATACATGCTGCATCATTAGTAATAATCTTACCACACAATACAGTACAGGTAGTTTAAGATTGAATAAAACTCCATAATGAAATTTGACGGAATGGCAAGAATTGAAGAAAACGATTACTTTCTTCTTTCTTAATGTCTGCAACACAGTTGCAAGCATAGATATTCTATCACTGGCACCCACAAGCAGATAGCCTGGAAAGAAAATATAAATAAATTGAGTGGATATGGAAAGCTACTGAATGAGCATTATTAAGATTGCTTGTTTTAGGCAATATTCCACTCTCTCTGGACGTACTGTACCTCAAACACAAGGTCAGTTAGACATTATCCTGAAGACAGCAGAGGCCTTTAAAGTTACCTCCACCAAACTATAAGCAAAGGGAGATACAGTATTGAAGAATTCTTAATTCAGTTCAGAATGATCTCCAGAAGGTTCATTCATTTACACTCAAAACTTCTTCTAAGTTATAATTAAGTTCAAATAGACCACCAACAATTGCTCTTCTAATAGCCAAATATCCAAAGTTGGCCAAATAGGCAATGCCGAAGCTGCCAGCACCCAAATATCAAGATCAGGGGATTAGGTGAATTGGAGTACAAGCAAAGAACACCACTCACAGGACTCCGGGTCGAAGATGTCACCGACCCAGCAGGCAGCATGATGGAGGCAGAACTGGCGATTGTCACTCTGAGACAGAGCAGAGCAACCTTCAAACTCAAAGAGCAAAAAGGGGAAAGAGCAGCCTTCAAACTCGCCCGAAGCGAGATTGGACCCAGGGGATGTATCCACTGGACCACTGAGCCCCAATGGAGATTTCCAGGGCCCTTAGATGCTCTGCTAAGGGAAGCCCAGGCAAGGTACTGCTAACCAGCACCGCAAACTACCAAGCAAACTATTAAGTGCTTAACCCTTAAACTGCGCAAAACTGCATATGAAATTTTGAGTAACTGACGCAAAAATGCGCTCACTGCATATACAGTCTGGAGTACTACGCAAGATTTAAATGGCCCGCCGATACACGGAGGTTCAAATGACCTTCCTCAGGGCTCTTGTAAACAGACGCCATTTTATTTTTAAATCGTGGGCAACATTTCTGGGTGTGAGGGCCTCAGTACTGAACCACCAAGGTTGGCGTACACAGCATGAGCTCACAGCATTGCATTCAGCTTGTGACCACAGCATCGCTTAAAAATGCCAATATATGTAACTAGTATTATTTAGCGATGATAGTATTACAGAGCGATGATAGTATTACAGACGATCCCTGACTGTGATATAAATGGCCAGGATTCTGATAATAGCAGAATTGTTGTGATAATTTGCGCTGTGCTGTGAGAGGAGTAATGATGAGGGTGGGAGGGCTGTAGCGTAGTCTGCCGAATCTGTGTGGCCACCTGTTGCTGTCTGCACTTACTATACCAGTTTAGTGGTTCGCTATGAACAAAACATGCAGATACTTGTATATAACGTCTGTATATAGTGAATAAAAGCAAAAACAGTATGGTGGGAGGAGAATGTTGGCGAGTAAGGTGAGGTGAGGGAGGGAGTGGCAGCCAGTGGCGGGCTGGCTGGTGTGTGGTGGTCACTCCTTGCTGCTGTTTGACTCAGCATACCAACTTAGTAGTTCACTATGGTGAACTACTAAGTAGTTCACCATAGTGAAATGTAGATACTTATACATAATGTGTATATATAGTGTAATAACATCAAAAAGAGTACATTATTGGGAGAAGTCATTTTGGTGAGGGAGGTGGTGACATCTGCATGACTTATCATGCTGTGGGTGGCCATTGTGCTCTTTGTGCACTATACCAGGTTAGATGAACTGTTATAGTGAACAAAACATGTAGATACTTATATATAATGTCTGTATGTAGTGAATAAAAGCAAAAACAGTATGGTGGGAGGATGATGTTGGCGAGTGAGGAGTTTTTAAGGGAGGGAGTGGTAGCGAGTGGCTGGCTGGCTGGTGTGTGCTGGCCACTCCTCATTGCTTTTTGATTTACACTATCAACTTAGTGGTTCGTTATGGTGAACAAAACATGCAGATACTTATACCTGTATATAACCTATGTATATAGTGTAATAACCACGAAAGTATTTGTTTATTGTTTAATGAACATAATAATTGAATCAATAATATGCACATCATAATTTCCAGTACCGTGATGATTCACACGTTTTATTATATAAATATATCACCCTACAAACTACTGAATAATATTACAGCAAAAAACTAAGAAAAAATAAATCAGAGCCATTGAAATAATCAGGTAATATCACCTTTGTGGCAACACCCGCCTGACAGCTGTGGCGGAGCAGAACTTCCCCGACGCATGATCTGTTAGCGCTTCTTTTTTGCCAGACTTCCCCGCTCTATTGTGGCCAAAATATGCCACTTATGATTTTTTATTATTTTTCCAGTGATCAGGGAATACAAATTAACAGGTTTATCATTTTTTTTTTATGTGCCTGTGGGTGACAAAAGGCCAAATAGCCCTTAGCAGCTTGGGGGTTAACCCCAGTGACGTGTACACTCACAGGGACCTAGTAGAGGACCACCAAGAAAATATATAAGTGTCAACAACACCAAGGGGCAGACCCCTCACCAGGCAACAAACAAAAATAAAAGAAAACCCCCACAAGAGTACAACATCCCAAGGCAGAGCAGAACCGGCTGCTATCTTATGGTGAAAACTAGCTGCACAGTACGTTGTGCCCCTACCAACAACAAAACTACCTCCTACCCAGAGGCAAACAGTGGTGCAAGAAACACCCCCAGCTGACTCCCAAGGGCAGGCAATCACTGAGCAGCAAAAGACCACAGCGGAGGTAGGTCCCAAGCACCTTGTGGAAGGTAACCCCAAGCCACAAGGGCAGTACTTACAGGGAACCTAGAGAAGAAAACCCTAGGTGCATGCAGCCTGATTACTAGTGAAATTACTCCTGGTCTGCACACCACCTCAGAACAAGACCATACCACAAGGCACAACACTGTACAACGTCAATGTCAGGGACCAGAGTCGCACGACCTCCTGGTCTCACATCAGCCTCAGAACTGGGGGTGGATAGATGGCATGAGGGGGTCTAGATCTCCCCCCTTCCCCTTTCCAGGAAGGGGGAGATGCGCAGTGATGGTTGTGACGTTATGCTCATTTGCTAGTTTTTAGTTTGGGGAGTTCTGCTCAACAGTTCGGCTTTCTGTAGCAAATATTTAACCAGACAGGGTTTATTTTGGGGAGTCTACCTTTCTGGGTGCCTGTCCCGGTCATAAGCAGATATAGAATGCTTCCAACCACAAGGGGGGTTTGTATAGGCCATTGCTCCTCGTGCCTTTTTGAGGGGGGCCAGGTTCTGGCTCATGGTCCCTGGCAGGCAAAAACTCCATTCGCTTCGAATGATGCCACAGTCTAATACATTCATATCATCCCGGATAGCTTTGGGGAGCCGAAGGATTTCCCCCCAGAAAACGACGAAATATCAAAACATTATTAACTTATTAATGATGTAATAGTAATATTTTCCTGCCACGATCAACCATCACACACAAGACATCATCTCCCTCCCCTCATCCTCTCTCCCTTTCCCACATCCATCATTCACTTCCAAAGGTGCCAGAGCAGCACTCTGGCGAGCTCCAGCAGCACTGCACCACTGGGTGTACAGCCTTACTTTGTTTGACTTGTGCCGTTGTTGGTGAAGTCGTGTTTTCAGCAGTAATGTAGAAGAAATCTGTTTTTAATACTTCTTTAGCCAGCTGCATACACTTGCATGATACTGTTGCACTCACAAGTATCTTCTGAACCTTTTCTGAAAGTAAATATAAAAGAATCATGCCATGTTATGCCTCTTAGTGCAGCATATTATTATTATTATTATAATATATATATATATATATATATATATATATATATATATATATATATATATATATATATATATATATATATATATATATATATATATATATATATATATATATATATAGATATATGACCGAACCTATATATATATATATAAAACTATTAGGCAAATATATATATTAGGTACGATATATATATATATATATACATATATATATACATATATATATATATACATATACATATATATACATATATATATACATATACATATGCATACATACATACATATACATACACACATACATACATACTGTATTTATTTATTTATTTATTTTAGTTAGATGCGAGAAAACACTATACGGCAGTAAGGAGAGAGGCAGAAAGAAATTTTGAAAAAGGGATAGCGGATAAATGTAAAACAGAACCGGGCCTATTCTACAAATTCATAAACAACAAATTGCAGGTAAAGGATAATATCCAGAGGTTGAAAATGGGAAACAGATTCACGGAAAATGAAAAGGAAATGTGTGAAACATTAAATGAAAAGTTCCAAAGTGTGTTTGTACAAAATGAAATCTTTAGAGAACCAGACACAATAAGAATTCCAGAGAACAACATAGAGCGGATAGAGGTGTCTAGAGATGAAGTGGAAAATATGCTAAAGGAGCTCAGTAAGAACAAAGCAGCTGGCCCAGATGGAGTTTCACCATGGGTTCTGAGAGAATGTGCATCTGAGCTCAGCATTCCACTTCACCTGATCTTTCAGGCATCCCTGTGTACAGGAATCGTAGCAGACGTGTGGAAACAGGCTAACATAGTTCCAATCTACAAAAGTGGCAGCAGGGAAGACCCCCTCAATTATAGACCTGTATCATTGACAAGTGTAATAGTGAAAGTATTGGAAAAACTAATCAAAACTAAATGGGTAGAACACCTGGAGAGAAATGATATACTGTAATATCAGACAGACAGTATGGTTTTCGATCTGGAAGATCCTGTGTATCGAATTTACTCAATTTCTATGATCAAGCCACAGAGATATTACAGGAAAGAGATGGTTGGGTTGACTGCATCTATCTGGACCTAAAAAAGGCTTTCGACAGAGTTCCACATAAGAGGTTGTTCTGGAAACTGGAAAATATTGGAGGGGTGACAGGTAAGCTTCTAAAATGGATGAAAAATTTTCTGACTGATAGAAAAATGAGGGCAGTGATGAGAGGCAATGTATCGGACTGGAGAAATGTCACAAGTGGAGTACCACAGGGTTCAGTTCTTGCACCAGTGATGTTTATTGTCTACATAAATGATCTACCAGTTGGTATACAGAATTATATGAACATGTTTGCTGATGATGCTAAGATAATAGGAAGGATACGAAACTTAGATGATTGTCATGCCCTTCAAGATGACCTGGACAAAATAAGTATATGGAGCACCACTTGGCAAATGGAATTTAATGTTAATAAATGCCATGTTATGGAATGTGGAATAGGAGAACATAGACCCCACACAATGTATAAATTATGTGAGAAATCTTTAAAGAATTCTGATAAAGAAAGAGATCTAAGGGTGGTTCTAGATAGAAAACTATCACCTGAGGACCACATAAAGAATATTGTGCGAGGAGCCAATGCCACGCTTTCTAACTTCAGAATTGCTTTTAAATACATGGATGGCGATATACTAAAGCAATTGTTCACGACTTTTGTTAGGCCAAAGCTAGAATATGCAGCGGTTGTGTGGTGCCCATATCTTAAGAAGCACATCAACAAATTGGAAAAGGTGCAAAGACATGCTACTAAGTGGCTCCCAGAACTGAAGGGCAAGAGCTACGAGGAGAGGTTAGAGGCATTAAATATGCCAAAACTAGAAGACAGAAGAAAAAGAGGTGATATGATCACTACATACAAAATAGTACTGTAACAGGAATTGATAAAATCGATAGGGAAGATTTCCTGAGACCTGGAACTTTAAGAACAAGAGGTCATAGATTTAAACTAGCTAAACACAAATGCCGAAGAAATATAAGAAAATTCACTTTCGCAAACAGAGTGGTTGAGACGGTTGGAACAAGTTAGGTAAGAAGGTGGTGGAGGCCAAGACCGTCAGTAGTTTCAAAGCGTTATATGACAGAGTGCTGGGAAGACGGGACACCACGAGCGTAGCTCTCATCCTGTAACTACACTTAGGTAATTACACACACAGTACTGTATGTTAAATACTAAATGTTATCAAGGGTTCAGTGATATAGCCATGTATTTGACCTGTTGCTACAGAATGGTCCATGGAACATTTCAAGCATCATTATAGGTCCATTGGGCTTCTCCTGGTTGGGCAATGCCAGTTGTTTTCTATGAAAACCATCATCTTTTCCAAGTCTGTTCAATTGGATTTACTTGTAGGATTGACCAAGTTATATTATTTTAATTAAATAGTAAAATTGCATTTGTAATACTGTAATTATATGAATCAAATATGATGTAAGTTATTCATTTTATGTAACAAGGTTTTAACACAGTAAATGTTGGTTTCTGAGCCAGATCTCTTGGTGACTCTAAATGACTCATGGACAGGACTGGAGACCACTGGGCAACTGTCAACATTTCCTACCCCCTTTGGTGGTGAAGCTTGCAAATTATACCGTCATGTGACAGCAGGGAAAGGAAGATACCAGAGATAAGTCAATCCAGCCCAACAATGGCCACCAGTAAGAACATCAGAGGCCCAACAAGAAAGGAGCCTTTGAGAAACAATCCAGAACCGAAGGAGCCACAACAAACCGAGGAGAAGAGAGATAAAAGAGCACCCGTTCCAAGAACCAAGATGCCTCAGGCAGTGCATGAGCAGGCCAGAGGTGAAACAACGCACGAGACAGCTTGTAAAACAGTGCAAAAGTACAGTGACATCAATACTGAAAGCAAGCTGCAGCAGCTCCATCAGTGCTGCATGATATGAAGCGACAGTATTCGGCACAAGATGACGCTATTATAAAACTAATTCTAATATCATAAAAGACATATTTACTACAAGTTTCAAGCAGAGAATCTATATATAACACGAAGGACTCCTCTTCACGAGATTCGCCAACTAAAATCTTTTGTTTATATTAAAATCGATCCTCCGTGTTGTGTAGTAGAGAAAAATTGAGTTATATCCAGTTTACATAAAGCTATGCGTGGTCGACAGCAACCTTAGCGCGACGGAGCATACTTACGGAGATTTTCCTTCTTAAATGCATACCTGAATACTGACGTAACCGCTACAAAGGTGCTAAGAAGAAAAACATTCCTAAGCTGCTTCGTGAATCTGGCCCCTGGGCCGGCAACCAAGGGGCCACAAGGATTAAACGCCCTGGGAAGGACTCCAACCGAGCCAGAACCCAAAGCAACAGCTGGACCGGGGGGAAAAGAGGTATAGGTAACTCCACCTCGACCAGTCCTGCTGCAAGGCATATACCGCGAATACCTCGCAGGCAGGGAAGGACGAAAGCCCTTGGCGCCTAGAATGGGAGGCGCCAAGACCACCCCGGCGTGAAGATGTTCATGTCCAGGAGTCCATACGTCCGACAGAGCCAACGAAACGAGTCAGCGATGACCGGCCATTCCGTGAATAGAGAAATGAACTGAGACAGGTCGTCCGCCAGGATGTTGGACACTCCGCCAGAACGTTGTACATGAACTGCACGGAGAGCCAAACCCCGAGAAACCAGCAGACGAGCCACCCGAAGGGACCAACCCCAAAGAGGCAAGGACCAAAGAGAACCCCCGTGGTTCCGGCAATGAACCACCGGCGAACAGTTCGAATGGAGCCGGATGGTAGAGCCCTGAGGGACCCAAACCCTCCGAAGCGCAAACCAGACCGCCGTGAACTCCCGAACCGTGCTGTGAGCCCGATGGAAGGACAGACCCCATCGTCCCCAGCCGACCTGGTGAGCACTGATCACAAAGCCCCAGCCGAGAGAGGACCCGTCCGTGAACACATCGAGCGAAGGCTCGGGGAGGCGCCAAAGCACTGGACCCTGAAAACCCTAGAGAAGAAAGCCGGCAATGCAGCACCGACACAAGGCCCCCGGAGGACGAACCCAACGACAGTAAGAGAGGCGGAAGGGGCGTCCCCGAAGGAACCAAAACAGACGCCGAAGCCAAACCCGACCCGTTTGACATTAGCTTACGAATTAGAGTGTTATACAGCCGACGCGGTGAGGTTCGGGGCCCTGCTCCCCCTCTTGGGGAGGGGAGGGCTGCGCGGACGAGCGGCGCGGCAGTAGTGTTATGTTTGCTTGTTTCCATGGGATTGTAGGAAGTTCTACCTCTCTGTTCGGTTTTTGCTGTTACTTTTTTACCATGTGGGGTTTGTTTTGTTATGCCTACCTTTCTGGATGCCTAATCCCAGTCGATGGCAGATAAGGAAAAACCCAAACCACAGGTGGGGTTTTCCAGGGTCATTGCTCCCTGAAACCTCTCTGAAGGGACCAGGTTCTGGCTCATGGTCCCTGGTAGGTCTGAACTCCATAGCTAATGTCCCGGTCTAACATAACATACATTAGCCCAATATGCTCCAGGGAGCTGTAGGGGCTACCCTCAGAAATGATTGAATACCTTGTGGAAGAACGGAATAAATTTTCCTCAAGTATTGCGTATTTGATCCATTATCCAGTAGACGGTCAGCTTCATCCAAAATAAGGATTCTTAGGTAACATACTGGAAGATGCATGTTGTCCCGACCACTCAAAGCCTCCAACAGTCTACCTGGAGTCCCGACAACCACTGTAGCACCTGTAACAAGTTATTTCTTTTGTAAATACAATTGTATGCACAATGGTAGAGTTGGTGAGTGGAGCTGGAGGAAGTAGCGATGGTGCTTACCTAACACACAGTGGTAGAGTTGGTGAGTGGTGCTGGAGGAAGTAGCGATGGTGCTTACCTAACACACAGTGGTAGAGTTGGTGAGTGGTGCTGGAGGAAGTAGCGAGGATGCTTACCTAACACACAGTGGTAGAGTTGGTGAGTGGTGCTGGAGGAAGTAGCGAGGATGCTTACCTAACACACAGTGGTAGAGTTGGTGAGTGGTGCTGGAGGAAGTAGCGAGGATGCTTACCTAACACACAGTGGTAGAGTTGGTGAGTGGTGCTGGAGGAAGTAGCGATGGTGCTTACCTAACACACAATAGTAGAGTTGGTGAGTGGTGCTGGAGGAAGTAGCGATGGTGCTTACCTAACACACAATAGTAGAGTTGGTGAGTGGTGCTGGAGGAAGTAGCAATGGTGCTTACCTAACAGTGACCACACAGGAGCTAAGTCTAACTTTTAATGCCCTGTCTACCACACTTGCTACTCTAAATTAAAATAGGAGTGGCCATGAATAAAAAGGGGTTGTAATTCTTACATCTTCACTAACATGGATGTAAATATGCTCAAATTAAAGCAGAAAGTCTGCCCATTAACTTCACAGGTATTATGTAAACTCAAATCCAATATACATATAGAGCCCAAAACAATAAACTCTGTGTCACTGTCCAAATACTCATGGGCTCCAGTGTATATGAATAAGTTTGGTTCGGAATAAAGAGGCACTGCCTTGCATGGGCCAATATGCTTTCTGTAGTTTCTTTATTCCTATGTTGTTATGTGTGCCAAAAGCACAGGTAGTTTCAAAATGACACAGGATAAAATAAGATGCCGGGACACCAAAAAACACAGAGCTCCTTGTGCCTACAATCAGCCTCCCATAGTAACACTCATACTACACAAAAAAAGCTGCTTCCCCAAACCTTATCCACTCACCAAAAACCAACCAACCAAAGTTCCCAAAACCCAAACACACACTCAAACCAAAACTCACCCACCCATAAAAGCCCACTCACTTACCTAAAGAGTGGGTGGGCTGGAGTCAGGGGGGGGGGGCGCTGACCTGCATGAAGTGATCTCGCGTCATGCAGGTCGGCGTTCAATCCCCGAACGTCCAAGTGGTTGGCCACCATTCCGTTCCCCCGTCCCATTCCAAATTCTTATCCTGGCCCACAATAACGTAGCTAGAGTAGTTTGACCGGACCACACACTAGAAGGTGACGGGATGACGATGTTTCGGTCCGTCCTGGACCATTCTCAAGTCGATTCAAATCGACTAGGTAATGGTCCAGGATGGACCGAAATGTCGTCGTCCCTTCACCTTCTAGTGTGTGGTCTGGTCAAACTTATCCTGACCCCTTCCAAGTGCTATATAGTTATAATGACTTGGCACTTTTCCCTGATAATTCCCTCCCCCTCCCTTACCTAAAATAATTGCTATAGTTATCAATTACCATTTTTTAGATCAGTGTCAGCCAATTTTGTCCCTCCAATGAGAGTCAAGCAGGAAAACCCATGTACATCTGCAAGTGGTTTTAGTACTTGTGATATCTGTTGTGCCAGCTCTCTTGTAGGGGATATTATTAAAGCTCCAACACCTGCAATGGAGAATCAAGATGTAGTTACTAAAATAAATCATATTGTTGGGGAGAGGAAGCCTGTACTTAACCCTATCGAGGTACCTCTAGGCCAACTACAGACGTCCTCCCAGGATGCAAATCATAATAGTTGCCTAACTCCCAGATACCTATCTATTGCTACATGAATAGATAGGTGAATAGACACACATCAGATGAAAGGAGACAAGACCACCACCATTCTTGTTCAGCCTGGGAGATCAAACTCTGGATCCTTGATTGGGATCCAAGGAAGTACACCACTGAAGTACAGTACCCACAAGTGTACTGGGCTTGGACAAACTGACCCAATGCGACACAGGCCCCAACTAGGCCCAGGAACATTGACAAGGTAGCGAGCGGCCAGGACCCTGTTCGACCTCCAAAAACCCTGTGTCCGAATGTCAGCCCAAGACATGTTACCGAAGACGGCAGCCAGCACAGCAAACTTACGAACGTCGTGGGCATGAGGATAGACCACAGGGTGGCTGGACCAAATAACAATGCGGACGACCTGGGAGACCCGAACAATGGAACAGGGAAGAAGGGAAACAGGGTCAATCCAAAGCGCGTCCCCAGCCACCAAGGCTGTGGCACACAGGTAACAGAGGAGAGCCACAACTGGACACAACACATGATGCACCCCTAGCCTAACCAAGCAAGCATCTACAACCCGAGGACCCCTCCGGAAAACAGCAGTCTCATTCTTACCCCAGAAAAGGAAATGTCTGCAAACAAACCTACTACCAGTACCGAAAGAGCAGAAACCCCTGCGCCAAGGAGAGCATGACCCTCCCCAACCCGATCCCCTGAGGCCAATACCAACAGGAAAAGAGCCTTTGAAAAACAATCCTGAACTGAAGGGGTCACCACAAACCAAGGAGTAGAGAGAAAGGAGAGCACCCGGTCCAACGAACAGGATGGCTCAGGCAGCGCAAGAGCAGGCCAGAGGTGAAACGATGCACAAGACAGCTTGTGGAACGGTGCAGAAGTAACATCCATGCCGAACACAAGCTGCAGCGGCTCCGCCAGCACCACATGATACACGGCGACAGTATTTGGCATAAGACGGTGGTCCTGGAACAACCACAAAAGGACAAAACAACCCTATCAGAGACCGAAGTAAACCTATGAAGGGACAAGAAATAATGGAATGATCGCCAGGAAACTTCATACTGCCCCTGAGACGAAGCACACAGGTTGGACACCATCAACAAAGCCACCTGCTCACCATACAACATACAAGTGATGATAGAGTCAGAAAGACCAGAAGCAAAGACTCAAGAAGAGCGCATCAACCACATAACGGACTGCATCGATCTGCTAACAGAGGCAGAACCGCGGGAAGACCCTCGGGTTCAGACACCGAGCAAGCAGCGCCTGAAACCAAAGGCTGGGCCGGCCACCAAGGGGCCAGAAGGACAACTCTCTCTTGGTAAGTCTCCGAGTGAGCTAGGATCATGAGCAACAGCGGAACCGGGGGATAAGAGATACAGGTAACCCCACCTCGACCAGTCCTGCCTGAAGGCATCGACCTCGACGGCCTCGCAGTCGGGGGAAGAGCGCCACATACAACAGGAGATGCCTTGACCACACCGACACGAAGAGATCCACGTCCAGGAGTCTGTATGTCCGGTAGAGCCAACAAAAGGAGTTGGCATCGACAGTCCATTCTGTAGACATGGGAATGAACCAAGACAGGCTGTTCGCCAAGACATTGGATACTCCCTGGATATGAACCGCACAGAGAGGAAAACCCCGAGAAGTCAGAAGACAAGCCACTTGAAGCGACCAGCCCCAAAGAGGCAATGACCGAAGAAAACTCCCACGGTTCAGGCAATGAATCACCGGAGAACAGTCCGAATGGAGCCGGTGGTCAAACCCCAAGCAACCTGAACCCTCCGAAGAGACAGTCAAACTGCCGCGAACTTCCGCACCATGCTGAGAGCCTGACAGAAGGACGGACCCCATCACCCTTGGCCGGCCTAGCGAGCACTAGTCACAAAGCCCCAACTGAGACACGACGCGTCCGTGAACACACAGAGCGAGGGCTCGGGTAGGCGGCAAGGCACTGAACCCCAAAAACCCCAAAAAGAAAGCCTGCAACACAGCAACCAACGCAAGGCCACCGGAGTACGAACCCAGCGATCATGAGATAAGAAGAAGGGGCGTTCCCGAAGGAACCAAAACAGACGCAGAAGCCAAACTCGACCCAGCGGGTAGACCAGCATGGCAATGTTCAAACTCCCGCACAACTGCTCAAGCAACCGCCAAGAGACCCGGGAGCTTCCCAGAAGCAGCTGAAGACAGAACCGCAGCCTCAGCAATGCCTCCGGAGGGAGAGGCACGGAAACAGTCCGAGTATCTCAAACAAGACCCAGCCAGGTCCAAACCTCGAACAGAACTAGATGAGGCTTCCTCCAGTTCACCAGGAACCAACCCGGTGAGACACCCCTGATAAGCAGACAAGCGGACCGACTGGGAGCCCACACCAGCCAGTCGTGGAGGTAGGCCAGGACCCGGCAAAAGAAGCCACAAAGTCAGAACACTGCCTTGGAAAGCAAGGCCAGAGAAGACGTCCACCCGAGACCACATTAGCGAATGAACTGGAGTGCTAGGTAGCCGGCGCTGGGAGGCAGAGGGCTGTGTGGACGAGCGGCGTGGTGGTTGAGTGAGGCGTTTCCTTGTTTCCTTGGGATTGGAGGGAGTTCTGCCTCTCTTTTCGGTTTTTAGCTGTAATTTTCTTACCACGTGGGGGTTTGTTTTGTTATGCCTTTGTTGAACCAAACTCCTGGCGAGCTGACACGCAGACCGGCTGGGAGCTCATACCAGTCAGTCATCGAGGTGGGTCAGAACCTGAACTCCTAGCAGAGGCAAGCGGGTCACCACAACCTGGGTAAGGAGTGTGAACACGCAAGGTGCTAGATTCAAGGCAAATGGAAGTGGTAGAGTTCAAGCCAACGAAAGCGGTATGCCTGATGCCCCATGACAAAACCGAGCCAGTCCCTGAACCTCAGATGAATCGGGATGTGCCAAGTCTCCAAGTTTACAGTCTCTGTGGTGTGGTGGTAAGACACTCGCCTGGCGTTCCGCGAGCGCTATGTCATGGGTTCGTATCCTGGCCGGGGAGGATTTACTGGGCGCAATTCCTTAACTGTAGCCTCTGTTTAACGCAACAGTAAAATGTGTACTTGGATGAAAAAACGATTCTTCGCGGCAGGGGATCGTATTCCAGGGACCTGCCCGAAATGCTACGCGTACTAGTGGCTGTACATGAATGTAACAACTCTTGTATATATCTCAAAAAAAAAAAAAAAAAAAAAAATATGCATCCCAGAGGTCCAGAGACACTATCCAAGCATCCTGCTCCAATAGAATCTGGACTTGGGAGAGAGTGGCCATTCGAAAGGATGGGAACCTGCACATGGAGCTGCACCTGACCAATATCCTTAGGAAGAACGGGTGGGGGGGGGGGGGGGCGAACAAACACGCATTGAGATGCTCCAACTTGCCTCTAGGTAAACCTGAACCATAATAAGAGTTTCCCACAATGAAAAGAAATGACAGTCTGCTAACCAGGATGACTCCAGTACCTTGTAACGCACCCAATAAGGAAAAGCAGAACCGAGCTCAAACGATGAAGGGTCCATCATCGAGGCAAAATCCCGGTCGCGCAGGAGGTATGCTGCAATGGCCTCTCGAACGTCCTTAGGCGGGATACGGGAAGCCCAAAACCTCCGGAAGGAAGGGACCGAAAAGGCAGGATGCGAGAGGCAGGAAACCTCTGGAAGGGGAAAGCCGAGGAACCCAAGAGAACACAGAACCGAACCCGGGGAGGAGCCGACCCCAAATCATATTCATACAAAGGAAGGGGGTAAGAAAACCCCTCCCCCTGCAACAACAAACCTCGCGAAGAGAGTACCAAAACCCAAGCGGGATCAAAGGGGGCCCCAAGCCCCCCAGGTCAACTCCTTCCCAGATCCGGGAGCCTCCAAGTCAGGCCCTGGGGCAGAGCCGTCCTCCACGCCCTCCACCCCCTGAAGAAAAGGCAGAGTCCAGGGGAAAAGAGGCAAAGAACGGGGTCTGTTGGTAGGATCCAGAAGCCTCGGCAGGAGGAGCAGGAATGCCTCTGCCTCTGATTCAAACAGAGCAGCTCCGGAAGCCGCCCGAGTCTCATCACCAACTAAACCCCGCCCCGACTCCAAAACCATCAGACATTTGGAAGCCGGAAGCAGGGACGGGGGAGCAGGGTGAACAACAACAACCGGGGAAGGACTTGCAGGTGCAGACTGAACCAGGGTCAAGGCGACCAACATCCCCAAGTCCAGGTCCCTAAAACCCAAACAGGGCAGCCCCGGGGCAACTGAGCGGGCGACCAACCTAGCGCGTTGCACCAACCTAAACTGAGCGTGCAACACGGATGCAGGTTGTACTCGAACCTCAGTGACAATACAATGGGTACACTGGAGTAGAGAACACATCTCGCAAGACTCTGGGTCAATGGTGTCATGGACCCAACAGGCAGCATGACAGGGGCAAAATAGGTGACTGTCACCCTGAGACAAGGGCACAGAACAACCTTCAAACTCACACAAGGCGAGGTGGAACTCAGAAGACACACATATTGGTTAACCAAGCCCCAACAGGATTTTCCAGGGTCCATAGAGGGTTTTGCCTATGGAAAGACCAGGCAAGGTGCTGCTAAGCCGGTGAAACCAGAATGTAAACAAAGAGGGGGATGCGTTATAAACTGGACCTTTGGGATGTATACGATCATCGGGGCCTAGAGGAGAGCCACCAACATACCCTAGGTATGGCAAGCAAGGCAGACCCCCTCCAGGCAAGGAAAACAAAAATAAAAGAAAAACTCCAGCAAAAGCACAACACCACCAGAAGGAACAGGAACACGGCCACCACGTAGGCAAGTGCTGAACGCAGCACCCTATGCCCCAACCAGCAACACCACTTTCTACCCAAGCCAAACAAAGGCCACAAAACCCCAGCTATCCCCCAATGACGGGGTAAATGTTGAGCAGCAAGAACCCCTACGGAATTGGAGTCCCGAAGGCTCTAAGGAAGGTAACCCTAGAACCCAAAGGTAGTACTTACAGGATGCTTAGGGATGGCAGCCCTAAGCGCATGCAACCCCAGTACACTGATGTTACTCCTGGCCACCGCACCACAAAGAGCAGGAAACATAACAAAGGCACAAATTCTGCCAAGAAATCAAGGCCAGAGTTGATGACCGCCCCCCCAGAGCGCATTAGCTTACGAACTGAGGTGTGAGTAGCGGGCGCAGAGGATCCAGGGCTTCCCCCCCCTCCCTCTTTCGGGGAGGGCTACACTGACAAGCGGCGCGGCAGTGGTGAATGATATTTGCTTGTTTGCTTGTTTCCTTATGTTTTGGGGGGAGTTCTGTCTCTCTGATCGGACTTCAGTTGCAATTTCTTGCCAGGTGAGGTTTGTTTTGTTATGTCTACCTTTCTGGGTGCCTAACCCCGGTCAATGGCAGACATGAAATGCTCCAAAACACATGGGGGTTTCCATAGGTCATTGCTCCCTGTGCCTCTCTGAGGGGGGGCCAGGTTCTGGCTTGTGGTCCCAAATAGGCAGAACTCAAAATGACTGATGCCCCAGACTAATATAGTGTATATCAGTCTGATAGTTCCAGGGAGCCAACAGGGCTCCACATAGAAAACAAGTTGTTCCTAAAAAGAATATCTAATATTCAGGTACATAAATATATGCAAATATTCCCAGAGCAGGAGCCTTATGCTAATTTATTTTTACTTCAAACTTTTAACAACAAAATTTGTTGTTCACAGTTTCAAAATTAACCTTATACTGTACTGTATACTATACTGCCTTTAAAATTTAAAATACAAATCAATAATTTAAATATCTGCTTTATCGTACTGACCATGTGACTCTTTGAATTTCATAGCTTTTAATCTTTCCAAGGTGGGCATTAGAAAAGCTAATGTTTTTCCAGAACCTGTTCGGGCATGAAGAAAACAGTTGGATTTGGCTAATATCTGTGGAACTGCATGCAGCTGAATAGTAGTCAGCTGCTTAAATCCCATTTTGGATAATGCAGTTGCTGTTGTTGATGAGCAAAGGCCCTTCTCTTGCACCCATTCCAATGTGCGACTACTGAGGATGCTGGACCCAGCCATTTCTGTAAATAAAAAAACTTCAAATTTTTGTAAAAAGCTTAAATTATATGGTTTCCATCATGAGGGGACAGGAAACTTTCTAGTCTTATCAAGATCACCCTAAGCCTTGGGTAAAGTCAAGGGGTCCCCTTCTCCCTTGACCTTACTCAAGATGCAAACCCACAACAGCTGCCTAATGTTTATTAAGCACCTGTTGTGCCTAACAATAAGAAGTTGGTAAATAAATGTTCCTATTTATAAGTGAAGAGTATCATCAGGTGCACAGAAATACAGTACTGTATGTCCAAACATCTCGTTCTGAAAGGAAACCAAATCCCAGGACCATTTACTTGTGACCCAAGTGACCAACCCATATTACATCACCAACACTCGGTCGTTCCAGAGAAATAATTTACGGCACATTGGGATACCTAGCACCTGTCTCTAACCACAGATCCTAGTTACTGGACACCCATTGCATCTAACATATGTGAACCAGTTATCCTAGTAGTGTTGTCTAATAGTTTGAAAATGTCGAGAGGTATAACATCATAAAATATACGGTTATACTGTACAGGGAAATTTTCCTTACAAGTGGGTGATGTGTGTGTGTGACTGTCTAGAAGAGATCAGCCCCAGGGGTGTCCGGACACTTGTATCTGCTGGGGTAAAGCATGAGCACTTCTTAAGGATCTGTGTACCTCACCTCTCCTACCCTAAGTACAGTGGCACCTCGATTAACGAGCGGCTCTATCTATGAGCATTTCGAGTAACGAGCAAGCCACTCGCAGCAAATTTGTCTCTATTGGTTAGCTTCGCCTCTATTAACCACCACTACTTCACCCAGGAAGCACCACATGGTGCTTCCTAGCGTCTCGCGGGGTTCTCACAAATTCTCGGACGCCTCCGACGCCAGTGTTGTTGTTGTATCGCGCACGACTAGCATCCCTCTGCATTTATTTGCACTTTTCTTTGTTTTTTTGTGGTTTTGTGACTACAATTTGTAACGTACGATGTCGCCAAAGCTGTTGCTTACTAAAGATAATGTTGTCAAGAGGAAGAAAGACACAATTACTGTGGATTTGAAGAAGGAAATTATAGCAAAGCATGAGCATGGTGTCTGTGTGATTAATCTCACAAGGGAGTATGGCAGGTCCCCATCAACAATTTGCACCATTAGTAAGGGGGAGGGGGAGGTAAGGGAGGATGCTGCCTCTTCCAGTGAGATCAGGGAAGTGTTGGGATTGTTTGAAAAGGAGACCGCATTCTTAGAAAAGCATCACCCTGATAAAGCAATGACAACCCAGTGTGTGAACATGTTTAATGACAATTTGCTGTCTTGTTTTAGGAACATCCTAAAAGAATGACAAAAGCAATTGTCAATAGATACGTTCTTTGCAAAAGTAGAGAAAAGAAGAGCCAGTGATAGTGAACCACAACCCGGTCCCAGTGGGGTGAAATTCCAAAGAAGAGAGAGCCCGCCTGACTCATAGGTGGATTCTCCTTCCACACCATAACCCCTCTCCTCCTTCCCACCTCCCCATCGTCTCCCTCAAGCCAGCAACGAATCTTCATAGGTAAACATGAAAACAGTACAACAAAACATTTATAATTACATGTGCAGTATTATATTTACATTACAAAATGTCATACAAGTATGGATGCTTTGGGAGTGGAACGGATTCAATTTATTTCCTTTATTTTAAATGGCAAAATTTGTTTCTTAAGACGAGTTTTTCCCATAACGAGCTTGGTGCCAGAACGGATTAAACTCGTTAATCGAGGTGCCACTGTACTCTCTTGCATTAGCTTTGATGCCCTTAACTCATCACTCAATCCTGCCATCAATTAATACTCTCCCCTCTAACAAATGTTATAACTGCAGCTTGTAGCACAGTATGGGTTCTGTAGTACAGTGGTCTACACCCTCAGCTCACAACCAAGAGAGCTGGATTTAAAAAGGGCATGACAGAAATGATCCGGCCTTTCACCTACTGCTTCCAATTACACAAGGGTGTCTTTAGGCTATTGCTCCTCGTGCCTCTCTTGAGGGGGCCAGGTTCTGGCTCTGGTCCCCGGTAGGCCTAAAACTCCTTCAATTGACTGTTGCCACGGTCTAATATATATACACATCAGCCCGGTATAGCACCAGGGAGCCAAAGGGGTTCTCCACAGAAAACATATTTACTCTGAAATAATCTCATTTCATAACGAAATTAAAAGCAAATACGTGCCAGGTGACACCTTAGGACAAGTCACTCCACAACACTGGACCCAGGATCTTCGACTTCCTAAGGCGTCACCTTAGGAGTTAAATTTTGTTAACCTACATCTTCTTTAGTTTTAAGTGTTTTACCTCCCATACACTGTTAGTTAAATTTTTGTCCATTTAATTTTGGTTTTGCCCAAAATGCTTTGCATAATACAGTGGCTTCACTAGTATGTGTAACTCTTGCTCCTAAAATTGTACATTACTCTTATGTTCTTTGTACACACATTCTTTTGAATTAAGATGATGATTATGATGATGAAATGAGATTATTTCAGATAAAAAAATTTTGTCAAGGTACCACATGAAGGACTGAAAAGGAAATTACAGGCACATGGAATAAATGGTAAAATACTAGAATGGATAAAACAATGGCTGAAACAAAGAAAATAAAGGGTCATGCTAAATGGGAACAAATCTAAATGGAGAAAGGCAATAAGTGGGGTACCACAGGGGTCCATTTTGGGGCTAACACTTTTTGTCATATACTGTATATAATGACATTGATGAGAATATTACAAACCACATCATCAAATTTGCAGATGACACAATAATTTATAGTAAAGTGGGAAATGATAATGATAGTGAAGACTTACAAAGAGATCTACATGAACTCTACAAATAGTCAGATGACTGGAAAATGCTTTTTAATATTGACAAATGCAAGACCTTGAATATGGGACATAGCAACCTATGACACAACTACCAAATCATTACATTAAAGCATATTGATGAAGAAAAGACCTTGGAGTTAAACTCCAAGTGGGTTCATGGGTTCATATCCTGGCCGGGGAGGATTTACTGGGCGCAAATCCTTAACTGTAGCCTCTGTTTAACTCAACAGTAAAATGTGTACAGTACTTGGTTGTAACAACGATTCTTCGCGGCGGGGATCGTATTCCAGGGACTTGCCCGAAATGCTACGCGTACTAGTAGCTGTACAAGAATGTAACAACTCTTGTATATACTGTATCTCAAAAAAAAAAAAAAATCCACCACTCACTAAAAGTTGCACAATAGGTGGGAGCAGCAGGCAGAAAAGCTAACTAAACCCTTGGAATAATCAAGCATACAGTACCTTTGACATTAAGGAAAAGAAGGTGGTGATTCAACTTTATAAATCTCTGACGTGCCACCATTTGGATTACTGTATCCAAACATGGAGACCTCATCTTCAGAAGGACATAGCTGCTCTGGAGAAAGTGCAACACCGGGTAACAAAAGTCATTCCAAAGCTTAGTCATCTCTCATATTAGGAACAGCTGAGGGTCACAGGGGTAACAGCACTGCAAACCATGCATGACAGGGTAGATCTCATTGAAACTTTTAACATTTTGAACAATTTGGATCCGACATTTCTTTCAAAAGGTCGGAGTAACACAAAGAAGAGCAACAGTTTCAAGTTCAACAAGCCACAATGTCGGACTAAGAGTAGATGCTTTTTCACTCATATGTTTATAAATCCAAGAAACTGTCTACCAGCTGAAGCTGCAAATGCCAAAACTCTGTTAGGTTTTAAAATTTACCTCTAAAAGACCATGCAGCCAAATGGAGGGACTGTCGACAAGCTTCCTGTCCTCATCGAGGCCACTAGTGTTAGGGGCCTGTTACAAATCCTGAGGGGCCCTGAGGACCAGTAAATCAGGTAAAAATATGCTTTTTCATGTTCTACATTCAGCAATAAATATATCATATTTCTTCATTACTTACATAATGCTAGGAGGCTTTGGGTAACATTAGGTGGCTTCGGGTAATTCTATGGACCAATTCTGCCTTATTCAGGAACCTTCATTGTGAGTCAAGAATGAAGCCAGCTGTAACCCAACATCCTTTTTTATTCCTATATCTAAAAGTTTTCCTAGCTGGCCTATATAAATCAGGCCTATGATAAGTAACATTTATTTAAATAAAGGTTCAGTTTGCCTATTTTGGTGACCGGGTTGACTTGTCTAACAACCTGACTGGAAAAAAGGTAAAGAGGAAACCTTTAACAAGCCGGGGGCTTCATGTCCCATTTGAGACCACTGAGTAGATGGTGACCCTCAGGTAAATTCAGGTAAAAGAACCATCACTCAACAACATACCTTGCTACGTGAAAATGTTGTGCATATAGTGTTCACTGATTAATGTTCAATGAGTCGCATACGTTGACATACATATATATGCATATATACTAGACATATAAGCTTCTATGGCGTAGGTCTTGTGTATAATAAATGCAGCATGACAGAATTTCTTGTTGAATATGAAGGTTTTCTCCTCCGGACGACTACACGAGGAGAGACTTCGGCAATGTTGTTGTTGTGGTAATGGGTTAGCGGCAGCTATAGCACACGACTTGATCTCGTCAAGTCGTATACTGCAATTTCGGACTGGGCTCCCATTTGTTTTGGGGCCAAACAAATGTCAATGTTTTGGCATTTACGGCTTCGGCGGGTATGCGTTTCCGCCAAGGTTATAAATTAACCGTCGTAATGTGAACCGAAAATATAAATGAAAATACATACATTGATTTCAGTACTGTAATATACCAGTTATTTGAGAGTTGAGAAGCGGGACCAAGAAATGCAGAATCTCAATAACCGAAAGAACAATTAGGTTGTACTGAAATTAACGTGGTGATTTATATAGTCTGTAAACAAGTACTATATCTATAAAATATAAAACTTATTTTAATTATCCTGCACTTCAAGAGACCACAAGCATTCTTACTCTCATTTATTTTTGTAGCAGAAATGTTTTGTCTATATTTATTTAATGGAAATTAGTGGTGTTTGAGCAAGCTAATCAACGTCAAAAATGTTTACATTGTTGTTCTTCATCTGTAGTACTGAGCTCTACACATATGGGTAGCTTTGCCGCAGGCTGTTTACTGCTCTGAGAAATAAACATAAATCCTCATGCCTGGAGCCCGCGGTGCCCGGCGCCTTGCTGTGGGAAGTCAGAGATGTTTAGACTCCCCCTGCCAGGAAATGGAATAAAACAATATAACAAAAATACGAGGCTACTGTTCCTGGGTAGCTGTGGAACATGTAGTCTGGTACCAAAAGATGCAGGCTGTGTGTGGACAAGCTTGGTGTAGCAGGAGATTAGAATGTGCATGATTGTTGCGTCCTTGGGTCGCTGGTGGAGCATTTAGATCTGGAGCGGATGGGCTCGGACACCAGGACTGTAACGGTTCTATTGTTACGTAAAGTATGGTGACAAATAAACACAGACACTAAGATACTATATATATATTTGGTCGAATATACAGAAGTACACAGGTGATACGTTCGTGTGAGTTGAGCGCACTGAGCGTTGGTACAGTATCTCGCAAGTGTCTGCTCTAGACCACACTTGAAAGTAAACTAGCCAATGTTCGCTACACCGCTGCTTATATTGCTTGGGCAACACCTCACCGTGTTGCCCGGGCAACGCCTCACCTCATTCATCTCCAAAGGTTGACAGGAATATTAACACTATATTTGGAGCGAGTATATTATTGGGATAATCTACTCGCTACAGAACTCCCCCTCCCAGGGGATGAAAGGAAAAATAATTGATCAAGGAACTTAGCTGGTCGGTGAATTGTACGCCCTGCTCGCGTTACATAACCATCAAAGTTAACTTCCTCCTCTTCGCTGATGTCATCTAACTGGGGTCGTAGGAGGATCCTGTGCTGGGAGGTCGTCCGTCGTCGTAGGAGGGTTGTGGTGCGGCTGGTAATTGGGGTCGAAAAGTGAACTGCGTAGTCGGCGGATGTGTCTCTGGATTTAGCAGTGTCGCAGACGTTGAGACGAAGCCTGGAGCAGAGCAGAGAGCTGAGTGAGGCCGGAGTCGTGGAGCTCTATGTGGGAGAGCGTGGCGGCTCGATTGAGATTTGTGAGTGTCTAAACTCGGGGAGCGAGAGCGTGGCGGCTCGATGCGGTCGTAGTCTGCTGTCTGCTCTGTGTCTAAGCTGTAGCGTCTTGGGTTGATTAGGACTGTACACGCCGAGTACTACATTGTTGACTGTGGAAATTGTAGTCTGGTACCAAAAGATGTAGGCAGTGTGTGGACAAGCTCGGTGTAGCAGAAGAGAAGAATGTGCATAATTGTTGCGTCCTTGGGTCGATGGTGGAGCATTTAGATCCGGGGCGGATGGGCTCGGGCACCAGGACATTAGGAGGTAATGTAGGCACGTAGTTAGGACAACGAGGTAATCACTGCTAGAGCTAGAGCTGAATTGTCCTGGAGGCGACGAAGAGTCGGAAACGCAAGCTGTAAGTCCTGTATTGCACAAAGGGCTTGAGTCGGCTGAGTATCAAAATGCAGTGAACGTGTAGATGAATCTGATGACAGAGCAGCTGTCGTGGGCGTAGGACAAGCAGTGCCCTGGCAGCGACGGAGAGTCGGCAGGACAAGCTGTAGATCCAGCATGATGTAATCATTGATGAGGCTGTCAGATGAGTGAGTAACGATCGTGGAGCAGCAAGCCGTAGTAGATGAAACTGCAGAGATGGACGCGATGAAAATCATAGCTGTGGCGAGGGTGTTGGCAGTATTCCATCACAGCAAACAGTAGCAGTAGAGGTCCAGTGAGAGTCCATGTTGTAGTCCATCGTGGCTGGGTAGCGTCGAAACTTCGTGAAGGTCGAAAATAGCCTCCATCTGCATGAACCAAAATTCTGAATCATCTGCGTTGTATGCTGGAAACCTGGTAGATAAATCCATGACGAAGATCTAGTTTGTGACTAGGTGTTCTTTTTCACTCACTGGGTCACCAATGTAACGGTTCTATTGTTACGTAAAGTATGGTGACAAATAAACACAGACACTAAGATACTATATATATATTTGGTCGAATATACAGAAGTACACAGGTGATACGTTCGTGTGAGTTGAGCGCACTGAGCGTTGGTACAGTATCTCGCAAGTGTCTGCTCTAGACCACACTTGAAAGTAAACTAGCCAATGTTCGCTACACCGCTGCTTATATTGCTTGGGCAACACCTCACCGTGTTGCCCGGGCAACGCCTCACCTCATTCATCTCCAAAGGTTGACAGGAATATTAACACTATATTTGGAGCGAGTATATTATTGGGATAATCTACTCGCTACAGGACAATAGGAGGTAATGTAGGCACGTAGTTAGGACAACGAGGGAATCACTGCTAGAGCTGAATTGTCCTGGAGGCGACGAAGAGTCGGAAACGCAAGCTGTAAGTCCTGTACTGCGCAAGGTGCTTGAGTCGGCAGAGTATCAGAATGCAGTGAACGTGTAGATGAATCTGACGAAAGAGCAGCTGTCGTGGGCGTCCCTGTAGGACAAGCAGTGCCCTGGCAGCGACGGAGAATCGGCAGGACAGGCTGTAGATCCCACATTATGCAATTACTGATGAAGCTGCCAGGTGAGTGAGTAACGATCGTGGAGCAGCAAGCCGTAGTAGATGAAAATGCAGAGATGATCGCGATGAAAATTATAGCTGTGGCGAGGGTGTTGGCAGCGTTCCGTGACAAGCGGCACAAGGTGGTCCACAACAAGCAACAGCAGGAGTGAAGGTCCAGTGAGAATCCATGTTGTAGTCCATCGTGGCTGGGTATCGTCGAAACTCTCTGGGGTCACCAATGTAACGTACGATTAAGTTACGTTGTTGGGTTGGTTAGATACACAGTGTTTAGTGAGTTTCATATTTATTTAGTAGTCCTGGATACAGCAGTGTCGTAGACGTTGAGACGAAGCCTGGAGCAGAGCAGAGAGCTGAGTGCGGCCGGAGTCGCGGAGCTCTATGTGGGAGAGCGTTGTAGCTGGATGAGGTAAATTTTGACACTAGCTCTCCACATATGTCAGTTGCTTAATTTAGAACCTGTACTTGAGGTCGATCTCGAACCCATTGTTGATGTGACGACTTATATTGAATTTTGTAACTAGCTCATCAAGATTGTAACTTGCTAAGCTAAATGAATTGTGGGGTCCAGTCCCTGAGCCCATTATGTTCCTCTGTAACCCTTTCCACTACTGCCCACAAGATGAGTATGGGGTGCATAATAAATGAACTAAACTAAACTGGATGCGGTCGTAGTCTGCTGTCTGCTCTGTGTCGAAGCTGTAGCGTCTTGGGTCGATTAGAACTGCCTACACCGAGTACTACATTCTTGACTGGAGTTTGCACTGGTTTGCTATTGATTGATTGATGAAGATTAAGCCACCCAAAAGGTGGCACGGGCATGAATAGCCCGTAAGTGGTGGCCCTTTTGAGCCATTACCAGTATCAAGAGCTGATACTGAAGATCTGTGGAGGTGCGAATGCACCCTGCATGACGGGAGATGTCTCCCTTGTGAATGTGTTAAGATGAAGATGAAGCCACCCAAAAGGTGGCACGGGCATGAATAGCTCGTAAGTGGTGGCCCTTTTGAGCCATCACCAGTATCAATAGATGATACTGGAGATATGTGGAGGTGCGACTGCACCCAGCGTGACGGGAGATGTCTCCCGGACCAAATGGTGACCAGATGGTCTTTGCTATTCGATTGATTGATTGATGAAGATTAAGCCACCCAAAAGGTGGCACGGGCATGAATAGCCCGTAAGTGGTGGCCCTTTTAAGCTATTACCAGTATCAAGAGCTGATACTGAAGATCTGTGGAGGTGCGAATGCACCCTGCATGACGGGAGATGTCTCCCGTGTTTTAAACAGATGAAGAAGATGAAGATGAAGCCACCCAAAAGATGGCACGGGCATGAATAGCCCGTAAGTGGTGGCCATTTTTAAGCCATTACCAGTATCAGGAGCTGATACTGAAGATCTGTGGAGGTGCGAATGCCCCCTGCATGACGGGAGATGTCTCCCTTGTGAATGTGTTAAGATGAAGATGAAGCCACCCAAAAGGTGGCACAGGCATGAATAGCTCGTAAGTGGTGGCCCTTTTAAGCCATTACCAGTATCAGGAACTGATACTGAAGATCTGTGGAGGTGCGAATGCACCCAGCGTGACGGGAGATGTCTCCCGGACCAAATGGTGACCAGATGGTCTTTTTTGCTATTCTCAAATCGCTGGCTTATATACGGTGACTACACCTCACAGTAAGATAGACGGGTGGAAAAACCGTTACCTGTAAATAGGGATAGGATTATAGCTTGTGTAATTAGTTATGCCATTAAGATGATGAGATAATGGAGCGAGTATAAGTTTACTCACTACAATTGGTTTGATTTGGGTTACGTTAGGTTGAGTTGAGCTAGGTTAGTCAGGTTTCAAAATTCAAAATTCCACTACGCCACGGAGCAGTCTCTGTGGCGCAGTAGTAAAGCACGTACCCGGCTCATCGCCAGCCCTTTGACCTGGGTTCGTATCCTGGCCGGGAAGGATTGACCGGGCGACAATCCTTAA